TTGTGTACGTGTGATATATGTGTGCGCATGTGTTGTATACGTGTGAATACGTGTAGCACGATACTACTATGTTTGCGTGGTCGATGATGATAATAATAATAATGATGATGACGGGGACGTTTCTTAAAAGAAATTTTTCATATTTCGACTTTGCAATTATATATCTCTGCTTACAAATCACGTAGAGCAGAAATAAAGACACTTTTATTATATAATTCAAACTCAATCTATCGATTAAGTCTAGTATAAACTCGATTGCTTCAGCCGTTATTGAGAATTCGAAATATTATAAAGACTCAAATGTCCGACTCGCGTTAAGATACACGGTATCTCGGCTACGCCCTTAACTGGTCGCGAGACACTACCGTGTCTCTTGATAGTATGACGTAAATTAATAAATAAAATTTTTCAATTAATAGCATATAAGCTCGTTAAGTTGGCCTTTTATTATATCACATATTATAAAAAATATATTTTTTACACATAAAATGTTTTTTTATTGAAATAATCACGATTTTAAATGTGATTTAACACAGTGTTCAAAAATTTTTTAATTAAATTTTTTAATTAAATTTTATTAAAGAAAATTACTTGAAATTTTTTACATTAAGAATTTAAAGGCTCCTTATTCTCTTGTAGAAATTTATCACTACGCCAATTAATCACTTATTTCGAGTATTTAAAATACTATAATATACAGTAATTTAAGTATTCGAAATAAAAGTGATTAATTACTCGAAATAAGTGATAAATTGGCGTTACTAGTAATAAATTTCTATAAGGGTTGAAATAAAGTATAAGAGATAAATATAGGCTATATGTGAGCCGTATGCGAAATGTGAGATGTAAGACGCATATTAAAATTTAATTTTTCGATATAACTTTCAAAAATGTACACGAGGTACAAAAAATTAGCTTGGACATTTGTAAGACTTAAAATTGGGATTAATTCTCAATTCTATTAATTAAATTTCGATATAACACACCTTACATCCGCGCACGGCTCACATATAGCCCATTTATTAGTGCAATTTTTAAGTTCCTTATTTTTCAAAGTTCACCTTTTTACGTTATCAAATATTTTGGTACGTTTTCAAGAATTTTATATTTTTACTTACCGCAGTTTCTTATCCAAATGTAAAATCTTTTATCGCAGTCTATAAAAAATTGAAACAATTTACAATTTTATGATATAATATTATTATTATTACAATTTCTATATATATGCACATCTGTCAAATATCGTGATTTATTTTACATTATTATTATCTATTTTAATAAAAAAAAAAAAACACTTGCAACAATCAAAAATAAACCGCCTGCCGCGAACGGAAAATGCCAAGAAAGCACGCAATTTCCGCGAATCTCGTAATTTTTTTGAAAAATCAACAATTTCAACGAAATTGTAAATTCTTCATATCATTGCACAAGTATAATTCACAATAATAATTTTCAGTAACTACGATAAAAAATCGTATACTGAAAACCGCAAACGAAAGTGCAATGGGAGTAAGAGTAAAGTCTGTGATAAAATTAATTGGCAATAGAAAATTAATAATTTTCAAATAGAAAAATTTTGAAATTACCGAGGATTTACAAATAATAAAGTAAAAATATTAAATAATTTATGTTTTCGAATTTTGCTCGCGGAGAGGATCTTTAAAACAAGATTTTTAGAAGAGAGGACCTTTAAAATATAAACAGGCAAAAACGTTGGAAAAATTAAAGCGCGCGTTTAAACAGATAAACGCAATGAAATAGATACGCAATTGTTTTTACTTATCGCTGTAAGCTCACAAGCTTCTGACGTGCTACACACTTTTATATAATATATACAGGGTGTCCGGTAACTAACGGACCAATGATTAAGGGCGGATTCTCTGGCCAATTTGGAGACGATTTTTCCTTAGCAAAAATGTTGAGAAGTCAATAATTTTCGAGTTATAAGCGATTGAAAAAAATAGGTTTTTGAAAACTAAACGTTTTGGAGTTAAAAGTCTAACATAATTACATTCTTCAGTTAATTTCAGGTAGAGTTTACTATAATAAAATTTTAATTTAAGGCTTAGTTATAAAGATACATAATGACAAAGATTGGAAAGTTGTAAAAAATGATGACCTTTTTCGACATTTTCGCTGAGGAAAAATCGTTCCCAAATTGACCAAAGAATCCATTTGTAATCATTGGTCTGTTAGTTACCGAACACCCTGTATATTGGACACGAGTTTCGTTTGTTTCAGATTCTCGAGAGTTGAAGTAGGAACATACGAGTATCATATATCGTTTGTGACTTGCCGAATGAAAGCAAGACAGAGAGCAAACGAGATGATGAGCTTAATAGCTCATAATGTTATAAATAAATAAATAAAAAATTATAACCTGACCTACTAGTTATTGAATCTTTTTTAATCAAATGTTTCATTATTATTATCATCTAAGTCTAAGTCGTTTAATTACTTTTTAGTTTTTTAATAATTAATTTAATTTATTCTAGTCATTTTTATATGAGAAAAATAATATCACGTATACGTTTTATAATGAATTAATATATTTCGGGAACCGAATTATATATTCTTAATAATATAAAAGTGTTCAAAAATTATATTTGACTTTTAATTTTAATTATTTTTTAGCAAAGAGTTCCGAAATCTCTTACACACATAATGGGGATTTTTTTCATCCATATAATTCGTAATTAAGTATATATATGTTAATTATTAATTTTAATAAAATAAAAATTAAAATTAAAGGTCAAATATAATTTTTAAACACAAATATATTAAATTAATTATAAAACGTATACCCATGATAGTATTTTTCTCGTACAAAAATAATTAGAGTAAATTAAATTAATCATAAAAGATTAAAAATTAATTAAAGAATTTAAACTTATATTTTATATAATAATAATAAAACATTTTATTACGTCAAACCGTCGTGAAATAATTAAATAAAATTTGCTAGTTACGTCAAAGTCAAGTTTTCTAAGCTTATAAAACATTTTATTAAAAAATAGATTCAATAAATAGAGGTACATGTTATATATATACTTATATTTATTGAATCTGTTTTTTTATAAAATGTTTTATTATTATCATATATAATATAAATTATTTAATTATTTTTTTATTTTTATGAGTAATTTAATTTATTCTAGTTATTTTTGTACGAGAAAAATACTATCACGGGTATACGTTTTATAACGAATTAAATATATTTATGTTCAAAAATTATATTTGACCTTTAATTTTAATTTTGTATTTTATTAAAATTAATAATTAACATATATACTTAATTGCGAATTATATGGATGAACAAAATCCCTATTATGTGTGTAAGAGATTTCGTAACTCTTTGCTAAAATAATTAAAATTAAAAGTCAAATATATATATTTTATAAATTAAACTTCGGCTCGTATACAATTAAAATATGTGATATAATAAAAGGCCAACTTAACGAGCTTATATGCTATTAATTGAAAAATGTTTTATTAATTTACGTCATAATATACAAAAGTTAAGATAAACGTTTCGACTGTACGACAGTCTTTTTCAATATCAATGATATTGAAAAAGACTGTCGTACAGTCGAAACGTTTATCTTAACTTTTGTATATTATGACGTAAATTAATAAAAAATTTTTCAATTAATAGCATATAAGCTCGTTAAGTTGGCCTTTTATTATATCACATATATTAAAAGTCAAATATAATTTTTGAACACTTTTATATTATTAAAAATATATAATTCGACTCTCGAAATATATTAATTCATTATAAAACGTATACGTATTAGTATTTTTCACATATTAAAATGATTAGAATAAATTAAATTAATTATTAAAAAACTAAAAATTAATTAAACGACTTAGACTTAGATGATAATAATAATGAAACATTTATTAAAAAATAATTATAATAGGTCAGGTTAATATTTTATTTATTTATAACGTCATAAAATTCTGTCCTTTCCGAAATACGCGAACGCTACGAAAAGATAAATTTCGTACATGCCGCCGGACGAGTTCATGAGCATGAGACGCTCTTATCTTGGGAACGTATTAATAGTTACTGCATTGACCACTACTACGATATGGCGCTGAAATCAGTGAGAAATGCTGGTCTCTCCTTCATCCAGACCTTTGGCGATCTGTCTATTAATCTGTGACGACGCGAACAAACCTTATGAATTCCGCCAAAAATACTCCGAATTCCGAATCGTTCGATTGGTCAATTTATTTTGTATTACACGTGCAGGCAAAGTGGCACTTTGTGTGCGTGTTTTCTGTGCAGAAAGCGGCCTGTAGCGCTCGTATATGTATATACAGGGTGTCTCATAATTCGCGAACCACCGCGAATGGGCAGATAGAGCGTGTTAAACTGAACAGAAAAGTCCTGTATCATTTTGCGATATTTGCAATAATTATTGAGTTATTTATTAAAATATCTAAAATGTAATCTTGTAATACAAAATATCGTGTGTATCAAGTGCGAAAAGTTGACAATTGTTCACGAGTGCAGGGGATGGACGCACGAGCGAACAATTGTCAATCCGCACTTGATACACACGATATACTATTATAGCATTTTTTGAAATCTCTGTCATCACTTTATTGTAATTATTTTTCATTAAATCTCTGAAGATATATTATATTGCTAGATTTAATATTAAAAATTTATAATAAATTATATATATGTACAGGGCGTCACTTATAGTTCTATTTAAAAAATCGAGTTTACCTTGAAACGACCTTGAAAAACATCACCCAAGATGAAAGCTACAACTTTTATTTAAAACATGTTTTTTCATAAAATTGTATTTTTTGAGATTTTTTATTATCCCTTTTTGACATCCTGTATATTTATTGTAATAATTTCTTATATATTTTATGAAAAATTGCATGATTATACTATAGATTTAAAAAAATGCGACCAAATGTATTAACTATTAGATAAAATATATAAAAAATATGAAATGACTTAAAGGTAAAAATACTAATGATGACATAAATATCTCATATATTGTGTAATTTCATATCTTATATCATTTCTAAATTATAATAATAAAATTATATGTATATTTATGTTTGATACTCCTTTGCTTTTTCCTTAGCTTTTGCAATATCTTCTTCGCTCACTGATGGCTGTAATCCACATGATAATTCTTCCTTTCTAATAAAAGCAAGCTTCTCCGCCTTCTCTACATAAAAATTCGCCTGTGCCGCTTTCAATTCTTTTTTGTAAGCGTTTAGTTTGTCCTGCACAAGTTTGTCACAATGCTTTTCCGTTAATCGTGTTAAAGACTCTTTTCTAGTAATCCGATTTGGTGGACTATAAAGAGTATTTTATAAATAAAAAATTAATTCTATAATTTATATATAAATTAATTAAATTATATATATATATATATATATATATATATATATGTGTGTGTGTGTATATGAAATCTTTCAAAATAGGAAAAATATCATTATTTAACAAAGCTTTTCCTTACTCAGGATATGGTATATAAACAAGATTGAGTTTCTCCAGAATCCATTCAAAGCGTCTATAATCCCAGTTTCGCAAATCTTTTAACCACTTTCTTCGTTTCTCAATCGCTTCTTTTAAAGCAACTTTTGCTTTCGCGTCTCTGGGATATACTTTTATAAACTCTTGCAAATCATGAATTTTACATGTATAAACAGCAACTAAAAAGCATACACATATACATAAACTCTTTATTATTCTATAGCAACAGATATTATTTAGGAAAATTGCATATTACTCGTAGCTTCCGGCGAAAAATCATCAAATTCATGCCTGTTCACTAAGTCCAAATACTTCTTTATCTTGATACTAGTTGTCTTAGTGCGCTGTTGGAATTGTAAGGTAAACATCTTCTTAACAAGATCGCTGGCACTGTCAAAAAACAGATTAGATGTAAATAACAACGTATACATAAATTACAATGTTTTTATTAGTTACGCTGATACTCACTCTTTCATTTCAGGTGATTCAGCATACTCTTGGATGAGATCCTTCGAACTGACATCGATCTTCAATCCCTTATCACCGGATCTTTCAGGTGACAAGGGTGAAACTTCCTCAGGTCGTGTCCAGGTGATTTTGTAGTCAGCTACAGTAGTTGCATACCTTCTTGAAAGGTTATCAGCATTTCTCAATAAATTTCTTACTGTTTGTCTACAATTATTTATTATTATATTCATATTTCTATCTAGTTTTTTTTTCTGTCACTCGGACTCGCTCTGATTCTTCAAAATCAGCAATTTGTGTTAACAATTTACATATATATTTATTTTTACAGTAATTTATTACTTCTTCCCTTGGAACCTGTTGTGTTTAGTCGAGATTTGAACCTTGTCGATAAACTCGAGTTCTGACGTACCAACATTTCCTTAATGGCGCTCCGTTGATCGTCTACTTCTGGTTGGTGACTTCTCGCTCTTCTGCTTCTACGGAAGGCACGGAAAATGGCCTGCTCCGCTGTTAGGTCGCCCGTTCTTCGTAATCCTACGGTAGGGCAAGCATTCTGCATCTTGAATTTCAACCTGTCAAAATATTATGTCACTCGCTTTATTCACTTTGCCTGTGATAAAGATGTTATGTAAATCGTTGAAAAACCGATGTACATATGTCTTATGACTTTTTACCTTGTCTCGTATTTAAAACATTTTATAACTGTAGGAATGAAAGATCTCTAAATATATTAATTATTATAAATATTTAATCATAAAAATATATATGTTAAATATTTAATAATAATTAAATTATTTATTGATAAATTATTATATATCTATATATTATATTTATGTAATTTAAGACTATTAAATTTAATAAAAATTAAATTAAAAGTAAATTAATAAGTCACGCTTCACAAATATTTTATAATTAAATGCATTTATCTAAGAATTATGCTTTCAACTTCCTTTTTTTTATCTCAGGTAAGACATTATGCAGCTGCCGCAGCAACTCAGTGCTCCAGCGCAGCAGTCCCTGAGCTCCAGGTGTTGTCGAACAATAAGGTAACTGTCGCTGCGGTTGATAATAATAGTCCCATCGCTCAAGTTTCAGTTATCTTCAGGTGAGAAAAACAACAGATTAATAATTAGTACTGTTGGTGCTGGTAAAATGTTTCTCTTTGCTGTGACAATTATTTTATTATTGCAGGGCTGGCTCGCGCAATGAAACATACAACACGCAGGGAATAATGCATCATCTCCGCATTGCTGCTGGTCTAAGTACATGCAGATCCACCACCTTTGGCATAACCAGAAATGTCCAGCAACTCGGTGGAAACTTAACTGCTACCACCGATCGCGAAAGTATCGCTTACACGTTACAAATTACGAGGAATAATTTGTAGGTAGCACACTTTGTTAAAGCACACTTGTATATTGAGTAATTCTAAGCATTTACATTCTTGTATTATATAATGAAGGGACAAAGCCTTGACTTTTCTGGAGGATGTCGCGACGCAGCAAGTATTCAAGCCATGGGAAATATCTGATCAATTACCCAGACTGCGCTATGAACTATCCATGATACCTGAGACGACCCGTGTAATGGAATTGCTACATAAAGCAGCCTACCGCACTGGATTAGGTTATTCCCTGTACTCGCCAAAAAGACAACTTGAAAAGATCAATACAGAAGCTGTATGTAACATTTAATATATTAATATTAAATATTAAATTAAATTAATATTTAATTAAAATTTAAATTAATATTTAATTAAAATTTAAATTAATATTTAATTTAATATATGTATGTATATATTTAATTTATATTTATATATTTAATTATGTTTAATAATTTATATTTAATAATATATATTTAATATATAATATTTAATTTAATATTTAATTATATATGTATTAGTGTAAAACACTAATATACAGAGTCTCGTTTTAATTTTCAAGCTCAATGTGAAAGTTAAAATGGGACACTCTGCATATATTGTATATATAGGGTTGACAAAGTTATTTTGTAAAAGTATCTAGTTACAGTTAAAGTTTTTTAATAGTTACAGTTAACAATTCACAGACTGAAAAATAACATGTTACAGTTATAATAACTCGAAATGTAACGAATCGTTACTTTTTGCAATGACTATATATATATTTTAAATATAATAATCTTGTGTATTTCAAGCTTTACTAAACTATATATATTACATACTTGATTATGTGCTATATTATTTTAAAAGCAATAAATTACTGCTATTTTAAATTTAATATAACAATATATTTAATATATTAAATTAATAATTTATAATAAATTAACTTCTAACACAGTAATCAATATTATTTACTTAGAATAAAAATTCTAGGATTCAGATTTTTCAGTTAAAAAATTTACAAAATATCAGACAGTCGTAATTTTCCAAAAAATTGTTAGCCCTAAATTTTAAATAAACTAACTATTAAATTAGTTACTAGTTACAAAAAATGTAACTAAGTTATAGTTATAGATGCAGAAAAAGGAACGAAGTTAAGTTATAGTTACCAAAAAAATACAACTGCAACTGTAACTTTGTTACAATTTAACGAGTTACTTCTCAATATATTGCAAGGAATCCTAATTTGTTTTTCTTTACAGCTTCAGCATTACGTCAACACCTGGTTCACCGGCTCCAATTGCGCAGTGGTTGCAACAGGAGTGTCGTTAACAGACGTGGCTCAGTTCGCCTCGAATCTAAAAGTGGGTTCATCGGAGAACACCGTGGTAGCTGCCAAGTATCACGGAGGAGAGCTTCGCAAGGAACGATCCTCCGATCTGACCACCGTAGCTGTGGCCGTCGAAGGCGTTAGTCTGAACAAGGAGAAGGACGCTGTCGCTTGCGCGATTCTCCAGAGAGCAGTCGGTTCCGGACCCCGTGTAAAGTGGGGCGCAAGCGTGTCCCCGTTGCACAGGGAGGTGGCAAACGCGGCGAGTCCTGAGCAGTTCGCCCTCTCGGCATTCAATGCCTCCTACAGCGATTCCGGACTGTTCGGTTTAGTCCTGTCCTCCGTACCCGATGTCGCCGATGCTGTACGTTTTTTTTTAAATCTCTCATCATGATGATGAATTTAAAAATAAATTTTTATTTTAATTTAATTACGGAAAGAAGAAAAAAATCTCATTTCTCTCGTAGGTGACGAAAGCTGCTGCCGGATATCTGAAGTCGCCGAAGCTCTCCGACGCCGACATCGCTCGCGGTAAAGCCACGTTGAAGGCGGAGATATTGTACGCCGCTGATAACGAGCCCGCGCTCTTGGAGAATCTGGGACAGCAGGCGCTTCTCAAGGGACGCCTGTACAAGCCGTCCGCTCTCGTCGCGGAAGTGGAAAAAGTAACTGCATCCGAGGTCAAGACGGTGCGTTTTTTTTCAGATTTCCTTTTCCATAAATTCGCTCATCTGAGATTTTTGTATATAATTTACTCTTTTTTTTTCATTTTGCACAATCTCACTAGAACGATTTTGCTTTAGTCCAATTTTCCTCGCTTATTATATAAGGTGTCCCATTTTAATCGATTAAAACCCCAATATTTTTAAAATGTTTAATTGTACAACAAAATGTTTTAAACAAAAATTGTTTGATCTAAAGGGGAACAGAAAGTGGTACTGTTGACTTTTTTTAAAGAGCGCTTTTCAAGATCATTTGAACGTCAATTATGAAACCACTATATATATTTTTTTATATAAATCGATTCCTCGTATTATTTCTCTCTTATAAAGTTATAAGATGGCCAAAAATGAATAGTTTATGAGATATTTTATACTTACATAATTTTACATAAATTATGAAATATTTCATAAAACATTAATTTTTCGATCTTAGCTTGTAATACTTCCATGTACAAAATAACGGGAGAAATCAACTGATGTAAAGAAAACATAATTGTTTAAAAAAGAAATATGTAGATTGTAACTAGCAACTACATATTTTTTCTTATAAACTATGATTTTTTATACCCATTCCTTTCATTACTTTATGCATTTTACGAAATATTTTATAGTTTAGGTAAAATTATATCAAATTTATGTATAAAATATCTTGTAAACTATTCATTTTGGTCGTCTTACTCTTATAATTTTTTATGCCGAAAGTTGCGAAGAATCGATTTATAAAAAAATATAGTGGTTTCATTAAAAAAAATGACCTTTAAAAGGACCCTATAATAAAGTCTGTAGTTTTTGGAGACGATCGATTAAAACGGGACACCCTGTATATGTATATAGTATAATAGTAATATAATATAAATATGAAACATTTACGATTAACAAATATAACAATTTTTTCTTTATGGCTTTCAGATTGCTGGAAAACTCGGTAGCGGAAAATTGTCATTGGCTGCAATCGGCGATCTATCAAACGTTCCTTACATCGATGAATTGAAGTAGATGTATAATATTGAAAATTTGTGGACAGTATCTGTATAAATTTCCGATTTCTAAATCTTCTGTCTAGTTTAGATACATATATTATCAGAGAGAATGTAGAATTCTACTTGCGATATTATAATAAAAAAAGATAACATCGCTGCAATTGCGTAGTTTGATATCTACCTTAGATATCTTATTTATCTACAAGATAGCAAAAGAGAAGACGCTATAAAAAAGTGAAAAAATATTGAAATTTCTCGCGTGTTAATTTTTCAACAGTGTTTATATGATTTAAACTAATTAATGGAAAAATATGTATAAAAAGTACATCTTCATACACTTGACACACACACACACACCAGATAAAAGATGTGTGTCATATCTTAAATTGAATCATTTAATTTATAATTTAATAAAGTTTTATTTCCTCTATAGAGTAGAATTTATTGTAGTTTCTTGAAGAGGATCGTAACGGTTTCCGTTATTCGTCCTGTCTATCATAGGCCTCAAGTTCTGGAAATCTTGCAGGAACTGAAACTGATAATTTCTATTAAATATAGAAAATTATACGCAATATATAGAAAATAATTTTGACATCACACTTACATGTTCTTCCAAGATGGCATTTAGCCTAGTGAAGAGTTCTAAAACGTGGGCGTCTTGCGACAACAGATAATGTTGATAATGGGAATCGAGAAGCATGCAGGACCAGTCGTACAATTGCTGATCACTTGGTTCCAGGCAGTTATTGTCAAGCGAGTCTATCTCTTCATTCAACTTATACATCAAGTACTCCAACAGCTTGAGCACTTCGTCGAAGGTCAGCCCGGTCTTCAAATGAGGCAGCAGAGAAGCACTGGAATAACTGATACTAAATACTTTATCTAGGAAGTTGTTCTTTGAATAGGGGTTGCTGGTTTTCGACGAGCTATCGCTGGTGCCGTTTTGCACAGGAACGAACACCTTGTCTGAACGATTCAGGGCGAACGCCAGGAGGTCCACTAGCAACTTTTCCGGCAGGTCTCTGAACGTGTCAAGGCACCACCGAATCGACGCGACATCGCCGGACTTCGTCAGGGACGGGATCAACGTCTCCTGTATCACCGCGTCGCTCCAGCCTTCGTTTAAATAAGTGTGGATCTGTTTGGAGATGTTGGAGGGTACTCGACCTATCGATGAATGTCTCGCTGGCTTCTTTTGACCCTGGTCCCACTGGGCCACCGTCGCCTCCTGGATCACGACGATGTCGTCCGCGTCGTTCTCGTCGTTCTTGAAGTGCAGGGAGGAGCCCAGCATAGTGGATATTCTTTGAGGCGCTAGATGATAGGGTGCAACAGCTAAATGTCTGTTCGCAGCGAGCAACAACTTGTCCTCCACCTTCCAGAGCTTGGCGTCGTTGGTGTAGAGCTTCAGTTTCTGCGCCGCCTGCACCAGCTTGAACTGGACGTTGTAGATCATCAGCACAGCTCCCTCGTTCGTGACATCGGCGCCGTAAACCGCTATGGTGGTCTCATTCAAGTGAGTCATGACTACGGGATAGTTGGTGTTGATGTTGGTGATGACGCTGATCAGCTTGTAGGGTTCTGGATCGGAGGACGTTCCCGTCAAGAAGTGACTGTACAATCTACCATGCGACCCTGAAATCATTTCACCGGTATTCAATAATAAGAATAAGTCTTAAGAAGAAAGGAATATTTAAAGGAGGATGTTAAAAATAAGCCATTTTGACTCAAAAGCGAAACCTAATCAACCACTGGAAACTTTTTAAGCTTTATATTCTTGATATATCTTTAAAATAAAATCAATTATATATCTTATAAAATATTCACTTTTTGATCATTTTATCCTTATAACTTTTTATGCAGAACATTGTAAGGAATCGATTAATATAAAAAAGTATAGTACTGCCATTTAAAAAATTCAAGATGACCTTGGTATCATCATCTATAGTCAAACTGATAAGACTAGTAAATAGATATTTTTCAGTGCTATAACTTTTGTTTCAAACTTTTTTCTAAAATGTATAGTTTGTGAAAGATTTAATCGTTTCCAGACTTTTGGCACATCTTGTATGTGTAATGTAAATCATGTATAAATCAAAACATTAAAAAAAAAATTCTCTACATATACTACTTATTTACCAATATATAAATATACAATTGATTTATATCACTGAGGCTATAAAGCTTAAAAAGTTTCCATTGTTTTAGGTTTTTGAGCTAAAACTAGCTTATTTTTAACATCCTCTTTTAGCATATAATTGACCGAACGTACATAAAGTTAACAAATACGCATTGTTCTTGTAGTGTATCACCGCGTGTCCCGCGAGATCCTCCGATCTTCGTTTCAACTCTACTCTCCTGATAGTGTCTGCTCTTTCCAAGCAAGTATCGTCCTCCAATTTGACTATTACACAGTTGTAAATCTCCTCTATCTTTGTCAAGCAGAACAAACTCGTTTTCCCATTCAAATGTACCAACTGACAATCCAACAACTTTTCCTTAGCTCTAGTTATACCCTTGCTCTTCCACGTCTTCCTATTTGCAATCGCCCACTCCAGAGAAGCAGTGGCTCCGTTTTGCTGAATCAGAATGGGTGGCAGATCGCTATATTGAAGGATAGCATGAAGTGGCGACTGAAACTTGTATCCCTTCACGTTGTTCAAGTCTGCCTCATCTTCTGACCAAACCCGCACCTTCCTCTCATTGAAGGCAGCAACATAACGTTGCTTAGATCTGTCATAGATGACCTGTGTTGTCAATCTTTCCTTATTACTGGACCAGCTGCTGATCTGCTTCAAGTCCTGAAGCTGCAAAAACATATATAAATTAATTAATTAAAAATTTGCAGATGAAAAATATACAGGTGAAATGTCTGATATGCTCTAACTTTATATCGTATCACTATGTTTCTGCCCAGAGTCACTATCGCGCAACCCGGCTCCTTGTCTTTCTCGACTCCCAATAAATTCTGCTGGTCGATGAGCGGACACAGCGTGTAATATGAACTGAGTTTCGCCATTCTTGTGAGCCGTTCTTTGCCGCAACATAGAGCGTTTGTCGAAGTTTCGTCGTTTAAAAAATATAGAGGAAGAGAAACGCACGTGTTAGTTTATGCTTGAATACTTTTTAATCTTATTACCGATAAAAAAATTATCTACCTTGCCAATCATCGGTAAGTTAATTTTTTATATTATCGATTGAGCAAGTTTTATTGATCGTTAAGTTAGGCTTGCAAAATTTTTCGTGTTTAGCGGGAACACTGTTTAAATTGAAAAATTACATTTCCAAGTAACAAACTGTCATTAAACGTCAAAATGGCGTCATTTTTACATTTAATGACGTCAGTTATTGCTACCATTTACACCATTAAACGTCAAAATAACGTCGTTTTGGCGTTTAATAACGTACGTATCAATTTGCTATACCATTTGCGCTATATTAATAATGTCAAAATAACGTCGTCGTTTTGACGTTTATTAATGATATATGATGAATATATATATATATATAATATATATATATATATATATATATATATATATATATATATATATAATTTTCTTTAATGCGCGTTAAAAAGAAAAGATGAAGAACCCAGACAGCATCAAATCCAAAATCGGCGCATAATTAAGATATCTTTAAAATATGTTTAAGATGTCTTTCGGATATCATATCATAAGATTTCTTAAAGCTGTCTTAAAGATTTCTTAATGATATCTTATGCGCCAATTTTGGGCTTGGTGCTGTCTGGGAAGTTTACGATTCTTTCCATATAGAGTATACATTTCAATTTTGCAAAAAAAAAAAAAAATAGAAAAAAAACAGGATAAACATTTCTTTTAACTGAAAAAATTATAATATATACAAATTCAGGTAGCAATATAATTATTTATACAGGGTGTCCCCGACCACTCGTACATCCCTTTTACCTTATCGGAAATAGAGCGTTTTAGAGAAAAATGATTGAAGGGGTTGAAAAATGGCTTGAAGAGGGCTATAAAACGGTGACAATGATTTGACCTCGAATGGTCATCTAAAGGTCACGTGAAGGTCACCGTCAATGTTTCAATTATTAATCTCCATTTTTTATTTGATATTCTTGTAGCTTATTTCGAGAGCTTTTTAAAACACTATATAATTAAAGTTTTTTTGTGAAGTACTTTTCGAGTTATAAAGCTCTTTTATGTAACCTTCAAATGACCATTCAAGGTCAAATCATTGCCACCATCTTATAGCCCTCTTCAAGCCATTTTTCAACCCCTTCAACCATTTTTCTCTAAAACGCTCTATTTCCAAGATAAAAGGGGTGTACGAATGGTCGGGAACATTCTGTATATGTCATTTTGATGTCGAATGACGTCAGTTTGCTAAATTATAGGAAAAAATCATGCTGGCAGGGTTGGGAAAGTTACTTTGTAAAAATAACTAGTTACAAGTTATCTTATTGAAACAGTAACTAGTTACAGTTACAAGTTACCGATTTTAAAAAATAACTCGTTACAGTTACAGTTACTCAAAAAGTAACGAGTCGTTACTTTTCAATTACTTTTTAAAAATAATTATACATTATTTTAAATATAAGGAACTTACATATTATGCACAACTACAGTCAAGTATTTAAAAAAATTCTTGAATGTAATATTGATCGATTTGCTTGCGACTTTGCGATTACCATCAATGTATGAATGACCTTTATATACAACAGTAAACATAGTTATATATGGTAACTTACTAAATAGTAATCGCAAAGTCGCAAGCAAATCGATTAATTATTACATTTAAGAATTTTTTGAAATACTTGACTGTGATTGGTCGATTGTAATTATGTGTTGTATTATTTTATGTACACAAAATGAAAATTTTAGGTAAAAAATTAAATTATATGAAGATCTATATATATATATATATATATATATATATATATATATATATATGCTACTGTTATCAAAATTTAATTTAACAATATAACGGCTACCATACTTAAACGATACTTTTAGCGAATGTTTCCAAAAAAAGTAATTAATAAAGTAACTGTTAAAATAGTTACTAGTTACTAAAAAAATGTAACTAAGTTACAGTTACAGTTACAGATGGAGAAAAGTAACAAAGTTAAGTTACAGTTACCGAAAAAAAATAACTGTAACTGTAACTTCGTTACAAGTAACTCGTTACTTCCCAACCCTGCATGCTGGTACACGATAACGCAATTAAATAATAATCGCGCGTTCCAAATAACAAACAGACGTCATTAAACGTCGAAATGACGTCATATAATGACGTTTAATGACGTCAGTTAAATTTGCTACCTGAGATATATTTTATGTGAAGAAACAAAAAGAGAAAATTGAATAAAATATAGAAAACATATATGATTGAAAGGAAGAGATCTGGAATGCTAAGAAAGATATATACTTTGATCGAGTGATTTTAGGCGTCGACAATTCGTTTTGGAAGGCAGATGCAAGTTTCTGCAGATGTTCGACCACCCACCATTTCCCGCCCTCCGTTCACGTAAACGTGTCTCAATTGTGTCGACGATCCCCGATCTATGGCCGTTGAAGAAATAATCGAAATCAAAAAAGTCACCGAACAAATATGAGAAAGAGAGAGAGAGAGAGAGCTATAGGCACACCTTTATCTTCTTTTTCCCTCATATTGTGCAGCCGGATCGCTCTTAAAACGAATAACGTCTCTTTTAAGCGCGAGGGCACGTAATATAAAGATATGCCTGGACGGAGGCTAATCGCGATATGTTCCGCCCCTAAATTCACTTCGTTTCAACGCGCGCTCTGGTTTGCCAGAGATCCCACTTCTTTTGCGCGTGTCATCCTTTCAATTGTAAATTTTCCGATGTGTGTGCGTTAAATATTTCTGCCGATATTTTGTGCACACGATAAACGAATAAAATTTATTTGACGTCAACTTTTCTTATCTCTCCGATATATATAAGAGAATAAAAGCTGGATTTTGATTTGATTCATTATATGAATATTATATTGTGTTTTATTTTTTCTGCATCTTTTTCATTCAAAATATTTATTGTCTTCAATAAGGAACGACATTAAGATAAAACAAGTTTGTAAACAATGAAAGAATTAGCTAATTTCGCGTAACTTAATTACAATATGATGAGATGCTACAGTCCTATAATTGGCACATTTTTTGGAGGGAGGGATTTGGGATTGAAACTCTACCTTTTCAAATTAAAAAAAATTTCAAAGTAAAAATAGGCTTTAAAAAAATAAAATAAAAAAGCTAATAAGCGTGATAAAAATATGAAACCAAATAATTTTGCTAAATAACTCATCTCCTCTTCTCTCCTATCATTAACATCAGGGGACCCGCTAATGTCCAATACTATATAGTACTATCATAACTGATGTATAACTTTCCATTGTGCGAAGATTAATCTACGCCCACTCGAGTCTCTTTCTCTCTTCCCTCCCTCCCTCTACTTTTGAAACTTGTGTGTGATTATATCGCCGCACGCGAGACAATATCATCATTTTTCCAACCCAATAAGACACAATCTGCCGTCCAAAATAAGCTTCGTGCGCACGCTAACGTATACGAGAGTTGATATGTATACGAATGTTTATCTCTGAGAGGGAGAGAAAGAGAGAGAAGGAGCTCGTCCTGAGGAGAGATTCGGAATATCACCGTTTCCCAGACGGAGGACTCAGTGGGGCACTATGCCACCAAGTTGGGACGCTTTATAAATCTGTGGAGCTGCTCGAACCCTCGCAGCGGGGTTCGGCCCCGATTCTCGGAGTGCAGAGAGAAGGATGAGAATGTGTGTTTGGTACTTTTTCTTCCTCTCGAGTCCCCTGCTGGACTTCGAGAAGACACTGCTGGCTTCGAGAAGACACCGAGAGTGGGGACGAGAGGCTATATAGCTTTAGGGTAGGTCGAAGAAATCGAGTGTCCCGAGAACACGTGCCGATTGCAGTCGCGAATGCAACGTGAAGTTGGCAACGAATCGTCATCGTTTAAAGATCCCCTCAAAAGGGTGAAAATACGCGTTCATGTGAGTGTTTTCTTATTAATTGGTATTAGAAGAAACAAGTGCCAAATATGAGTGTTGCAGCGACCTTTATCGCCATCGTCATTCTTCCGATGAGTAAGTATTTAATATAAATGGATGCAAAATGTAATGCTATTTTTAAATCCTAAAAATTGATAATTAACCCTAACAGTACACATAATCCCGAAGGCGTTCAGAGAACATCCTGAGAATGTTCGAATGTCCTCTGAATATCCTCTGAATGTCTTTTGGATTGTTGTGCTATATCGAGTGAAAAAGAAAGAGAAAGTGTGAAATTGATTAAACGAATTTTTTACACGATATTAGAATACCCAAGTAGCAAACTGACGTCATTAAACGTCACTTTGACGTTTAATGACGCCAAAATGACGTACGCTTGCTACCTGGGTAATGTCCTTGAATTCTTGAGGAAAAAAATATGATAACTATATTTTTTACGAAACTATGTGAATATTTGCTGCTCTAAATACGGCGTTGCAAAGCAGTTTCTAATGTCGCGCGATAGTTTTTGTACATATATACATGTCAAAGCGTATATTAGGAAAGAGAACGCGACAGATTCGAGTTTTAGGGAAAGAGGAAGTTGCACATGTGCGCAAGATAGGAGCACACGTGTTATACCGATGAGGAGACATTAACGTAACAGATGTAACGAGAAGCGAATCCCTTGAAAATCGAGAAAGAAGATTCCTGAAATTGTCTTTCAGTCAGTTGGATAAAAAGTCAAGACGTAAAATAATTTGCGTTCACAGTAGGAGCAGGATTTTGTCTCGCTAATAATTCGAAAGAATGCGGAATTCTTTAGGTAATTGTAAAAAAAAACATTAACAAGATTGATTAGAAATACGACAAGTAATTTTTCTTAAAGCAGAAAAGGAGCAGAAAACGGTCGTCGTTATACCTCGTCATCTGATCTTTTCATGTATGGACCCTGCATGTTTTTGACCTTTTTTTTATGATAGCTATATATTGTGCATTCGACATTGTTCCCGTTATTTTTTATGAAGAAGTTTCTAAATACAAAAATCCTTTTGTTTCAAACGAAAAAAAGGCAAATATACCATATATTTTATCATTTAAACTTCTTTTGGACATCCGGGTTCGTTTTTGTAAATAATTTAAACTTTTATGTCACATCGCCAAAATAGCGGGAAATAAATTGATTTTAATAAGACATCGATTTTTCGAACGGTCGACTTTCAAAGAGTCGAGTTTTTTTTGCACATTTATTTTTTTTTCAGCGAAAAGAAAATTTAAACTAACACCGTTGATTTTTAAATAATTCGATTTAATTACTCTATTTTAAATAATAATTCAAATTTCTCGAAATTTTAGAATATGTTAAAAGTCTACAAAGAATGTAAAGAGTCGTTCGCGAGTCGATTGTTGCATCAACAATTCGCTGTCAAAGTTCCAAGGAAACACAGCTGGAATATAAATTGGCAGAAGACAGCGAAAGAGAGGCGCATCGATCGAATATTAAACAGCCGTGCGAGCGAAATGCTATTTCTCCTCCTCAACCCTCGCTTTTCATTTCTTCTTACAATTAGCAATTTGCTATTGCAAGTCGCATCTCTGCGATCGGCACGCGGTGGCATTTCGTGTGTTGTTTTATTCTGCGCAGGTTGATCCTGCAAATTTGAATTTTACCTACGTGTCAAGTAACCAATCAAACAGCCTCCTTCGTTTTTCGAACAAAAAATATTTTTTTGCTTGAAAAACAAAAAAAAGGGAATTTTAAGGTGTGTAAAATTTTTCAAGTTAATTTATAATTAATAATAAAATTAATTGGGCTAATTTAATTAATAATAAAATTAATTGTACTAATTTAATTACTAATAAAATTAATTGTGTACTGTATTATCTTATATAGAATAAATACTTAGTTTATATCATCTATAATAATGCTCGATTAGTTGGCCTTTTTATATACTAAGTTTTGTTTTAATCAATAGACGAGCGAATACACGTTTTGAATATTTTTTTAATTGTGTTAATTTAATTGATAATAAAATTAATTGTGTATAATTATTAAAGTTGTTTCGAAAAGTTGCGAAAAGTTTTATATCAAAGGGTGTTAAACTCGATGCATATATAATGTCTTTTCTGGATAAAGCCGACGTAAACTGGCTTTGTTAATAAATTATCATGTAATCTGTGCGAATTTGCTATCTAGCGTTTGTTTATAGTTTCTTCTTTTTCTTTCGTTTGGTATTCGATGGATTGCACAATATATGCTAAATTTTGATTCATCAGGGTCGAGAGAAAGAGAGAGAGAGAGAGAGATCATAATTTCCGACAACCAACTGTCTGGCATTGTTATACACTATGACATTAATATGACGTATCGTTGTAAATATGTCAAGATAAAACGATTTCGTTTATCGCTGCATATATAAGTGTAATAATGACGTTACTTTATACGTAATTTCGTTTAGTATCATATTTATTTCCCTTATTAATATGTATACGTATATATAATTTCGTTTAGTATTATTTATTTGTTGTATTAATTTATATGCTAGTTTTAATTTTTATTAACGTTAATTTTAAATATTTAAAAAGGTATTAATTTATACAAAAATTTATAGATTAATTTATATAGAATTATATAAGGAATAATTAATAATTATAATAATTATAATAATTATATAATTATACATAATTAATTTATATATTTTTACATAATATAATTAATATTTTAATATATAGATATATTTAATATATATAAATGCATGTATGTATGCACATATATATATAAATACTAATATATAATTTCATATATATACATATAATTATATATTTAATTACATCTAATTATTGTTTAAATATAATTTAAATGTATTCTAAAATAAAAAAATAGAAAAAATATATATATATATATATATATATATATATATATAATATATTAGCTTATAGATACATTTAAATTTTATTTTTTTTGTGGAAGTGTCTAATCAATCTTTGTCGCGTGCGACATATAGTCGGACCTTTCGCAGCGGGGACTTTAGAATTGTCAAACTTAGAAGGGTCCGTGGAGATCACGGAACAAACATTGGCTTGTCACATAGAAAGCTCGTCCGGTCCAGGTAGCAGAAAGATCAAACTTCCATCGATAGGCATCTATTACCGACCTGACGATAATTTAATATCCATATTCGTCTTTTTGCCTCTTCCGTTCGTTTCGCTCTTAAATCTTAAGTAAACTCATCGGCGGGTGGTCGTCTTTTTGTCTGATGACTCATGTTACTTACAGATTGTTCCTATATGTATTTATTTTTCTTTTACCTTTGCTCATTCATTTTTTGAGGGAAATTTTTTGTTGACCTTCCACATTTATCGCCTTATTGAATTACATGTTGTTCATCTTCCAGCAAGGACGAGTCCAGTTATGAATGAAAATCTAACAACGACCGTAGGCGCAAATCTGTTTCTGCAATGCGAATGGGCCACTAAACAGATAGAGGAGGAAAATCTTGCGACTAAAGTGGATAATAGCACTTCCAGATTGCATTACACATGGCTGTCTCAAGAGTAATTTATTTCCTTTCTTTCATAATAAATTATGTCACGAATAGCTTTATGTATCTTGAGTAGAAAAATTGCAACATAAATTTTTTTTATTTTTTATTTTGTATTTTATTTTTATTTTTTCTTTTTTTAACACAAATTTTTATTTTATTTTATTGTTATTTGTTATTTTTTTAATACAATTTTTTTTATTTTTTACTTTTATTTATTTATTTCTTTTATAGATGCGAAATGCAAGCCGGTTCAAAGTATATAATTAGGAAATACACTTTCTTCAAGAATGGCACATTTCTTCTGTTGCGTTACAATTACGTCGACGAATGGTGCAGCATAGCGACATATACTGTCGTAATTCGGGGTTCCATCAAGTTACTGAAGCCGTCGAACGTCATTCCCGGTACCACCGAGACAAAAGTTCACGTGGACGCCGTTAATATTGTACCCATGATTCCACAGGTATTTACAAATTGCTTAAAGAGGAGCCAGAGAAGCTTAAAATATGGGACTGCATAAAATAGTGGTTCAAGTTTAGAAATTAAAATATTAGGAAACGCAAAAATCAACATTTTTGTGATTAAAAACTTTTGATTTGCAGATCGTTCAGGAGTTCGGGCACAAACTGAATCTGACTTGCGGTCCGCAGCCTAAATGGCGACTCTATACCCCGGCATTAATCTACGAGAGACCGCAATTCAACTCGCCGATGTCGCAGTGGCAGGGTCCCAACTACAATTCCTTGCAAGCTATAAACAAGCAGTTAAATTTCAATTGTTTGGAGCCTTTTGGGATCGAATTCGGCGAATTACAGCTGTTGAGAGTGCAGAATAAGGTCTCGTTGAATGATCTACTCAACAAGATGCCACACGTCGAACTCTTCCTGGCCAACCCCTTTCCTAACGCGCACTTTCGCCGGAATTATATACCAACTTCGTTGCAATCCACCCGCTGATTCGCGAAGATACGGTACGTTCGTTTCAGACTTCTTTGCTTCTATATGCTCATTTTTTAAGAGAATCCTTCAGCAAATGACGATAAAGCGGGGAGCACACACTTTTGCATAAGCGCATAAGCATATGCATAAGAAATTCGATTGGTTGAATTTCTTATGCATACGTTTATAGACCAATCAAGATTCTTATGCTTACGCTTATGCGCCTATGCAAAAGTGTGTGCTCTCCGTTTAACTCCAACAAAAGCAGCACACATATCCAAAACATATGCACGTATATGCAACGCACTCACATATACGTACGAATCGTATTTCTAATTACAATTTTTTATTAAACTTCTAATCTAGGTTTAGAGGATAACAGTGCTTTCTTTCGTGTCCTTTAATCCTAGGGAATGTGCATTTTCATTTGTACAAAGTGTATATGTTTTAAAATATGTGATATGTTCTATATAAAGTACATATTATGATGAGGTTGACAGTTCGTCTGCAATTCGAGATGTCATATCGAGATAAAAATAGATATAAGAAAAACTATTATTTCTCATTTTTCATATATACTTATCTCATTATAACTTATATTGTACCAGTACGTACTGGTTCGCCAGTGCAGCAATAAAAAAGAAACCCTTTTTCATTCCACATTATAGAAGGAAAGAGAAAACTCTGAACTAGTGCAGTCAGTTCAGCTGAAAAGATCAAACCTTTAATATGGACAATTCGTTAATATATTAAGTAAAACAAAATCGTAAATCAAGAGTAATTTGTTAATTCCGATATTGCAGATAACAGATTGCCCGATATGTAACAGCGTGTCTCGGGGTACCCTGTTAGTTCCGCCGCTTCTTCATCAAACCGCGACTCTACCCGCAATGATCGGAGGTTTCTGGCACAGCGAAAGATGCGAGAGCACTCCGGGCGGATACTGGTTAAGACGAAAATTCCAGATATACTCGGGAGACAAATTATGGATCGGTCAGTGGGACTATTACGATGATCCGCGTTGCTCGGAACACTTGTACGGGATAGTAAGACTGGGGAATTACGTGCAGCGAGCTGAAGGACAGCACCACGAAGAAGTTACCCATCATGTCTTTCCCAATTACTATAACAATATGACTACAAAATCTATTTTTAAAAGAAGCGTTACCGACCAAGATAGCTTCGTGCATGTCGGGACTGGACAATCTACAGATAAAAATAAGGCTCGCAGGCAGAAGAGAACGATAAGCGATAGGGTTTATCAGTTCTTGTACGACACGCAGTCTTCTGTGCTTCAAAAGAGATTCATGGCGATACTGCAGGGTCATCAGACCCGCGAACAAACCACGATGAAGCCTTCCTTCCCCTGGACACCTCTCTTCGGCACCACGGAGCTGGATCTATACATCGCCAAAAACATTCCGATGGAGAAGAAACTTTTCCGAGGAATGCCCACTCGTTGCACCGACTGGTTCAATTCGCCGCTGACCGCCTCATCCAGGGAAAATTGCGCCCGTTACATCATCGAGAAGCCTTTAGTCCTGAAATTGCGGGCCAAGTTGAGGATCGATTGGAATGGCCAGTACATCTTGCTGCTGGGTTCACGAAATGAGACCAGATGGGACCCACCTCTGCGACGATGCGGGCAATTTTCAACTGACTCCGATCCCTTCTTGCAATTGTATTTTCGAAAACACTTTTTCAATTTGTTCTCTTCGACATCGATCAATCGGGTCTCCACGTGGTTCCTCATCTGGTCCCAGATCTTTCTGTGGTGCGTGTATCACTTAGTACGGTGATAACGGGTTGTTATCTTTGCTAGAGAAACTTTTAGTAGGGTTTGGTTAAATATGCGGCATTTAAACATTCCAAATCTTTCTTTGCGCTTTCTTTTGGAAAATTTCATAGGATTGTAAGCTTGTAAATGTGTAAATAGACATGGAAATCAAATCAATTTCCAGTTTTTGGGGTATGTATCTTAATATAAATATGTAGATTCGAAGAAGAAGTGAAGTTAAGTATTTGCTGGACAAAAACAATCAATCATTATATATATATATATATATATATATATATATATATCACGAGCTTAGAAAGTTATTCTGCGCTGTTATCATATATAATTGATGTATGTACATATCTGCGCGCGATTATACATATAGTCGTATAATTTAATAAAAATTCCATTTTATATAATAAACAAATTTATTTTATATATATAAAGTTCATTCAGTCGATAGATCGCATGATAAATCAAATACGATTTTTCACGTTTTCTTTTTTTATTTATGGCATTTTATTATCAGTTATACACATATTATATTACGTCCATCGTAAATTACTTCCTTCATGGTAGGATTATAATACGTCGTCATATTGCAAGTCAGATTGCGTTCCATTTCTCAATTTTTACGTCAGATCAAATTTAGTCCGATATAATAGGCATGAAGATAAGAAGAGTTTCAAAGATCACATGTGTCGCTGATCGTTCTCTTTGTTCTCATTTCGCGAAAGAAAAAACTCATTTGTCCGTTCAAAAAAGAACGAGCAATGGAGAATCCTCTCACCACCGCTGGAGTCCAGTTCAACCAAACAGAAAACCTGGCTCACTTTATGTTTGGATGGCCCGATTATTCGCTCTTCAGTCTATTATTGCTTGTCAGTGTCCTCATCGGCGTGTACTTTGGCTTTTTCAGCAAGCAGGATAGTACAACGGAGTATCTTCTGGGCGGTAAACGCATGGGAAGTTTCCCCGTCGCGATGAGCATTGTTGCTAGGTCAGTATAACTCTTCTTCTTCATCTTCTGTAATACCCTGCAGATAGCAAGTCTATACATTATTTTAAATGACGTCATTAGACGTTAAAGTAATGTCAGTTTGACGTCTAGTGACGTCAGTTTGCTATTCAAGTAAGAAATAAATCTATTTTCAATATCTTCAATTATTTTTATTATTTTTAATATCTTCAATTATCTTCAATATTTTTATTATCTTCAATATTTTCAATGTCTTCAATATCATTAATATCTTTAATCTTTTCCATTTTAGCTTCTATACCTCCATCTTTTTTCAATTATAAAATTATATAAATAACGAAATATATTCTTTCTTTAGTTTCTTCTTATTTTCAATATTTTCAATATCTTCAATTTTTCTAATTTTAGCTTCTTTATTTCCATTTATTTTCAATTATAAACTATATATATATACATAAATAAATAATAAAATACATTCTTTATTCAAGTATGTCATTTTGACGTCGAATGACGTTATTAAACGTGATTTTGACATTTAATGACGTCAGTTTGCTGTTTGGGAAATTTTTGTCTCCCTTTTTTTGTATATATAGAACTTATGAACTTGTGAACTGTTTAGCCATGTTTCGGGAATCACCTTGCTGGGCATACCGGCGGAAGTCTTTCATCATGGAACTCAATACGCCATGTGCGTAATCACAGCGACCCTCACCGCCATTATCACTTCTTACATCTTCCTGCCAGTGTTCTACAAACTGCAGTTGACCAGCACCTTCGAATACCTGGAAATCAGATTCGCCAGACCGGTCAGAATCCTCTCCTCGGTACTGTTCACTATTTCGCTCTTCATGTATGTGCCCATCGTTATCTACGTGCCCGCCATCGCCTTCGCGCAAGTTACTAATCTTAGCGTACACATGATAACGCCTATCCTCTGCATCGTGTGCATCATTTACACCAGTATTGTAAGTAGCACGCGATTTATAAATAAAGTTAATCTATAAATAAACATGTCTATAAATAAACAATGTCTATAAATAAGCTACATATTTATATTTATAAATTTATTTTGTTTATAATTTTTTAATTTTCATTTAACTATAAATTTACGCATTTACTATTTTATTAAATTTTTTTGTTCTTTAAATTTTAAATAAACTTGTATTTTTTATACTTAATATATTATGCCTTTTATTATTTCTTTTTACAAAATTATTCAAAATTTTAATTTCAATATATACTTCTAATTTATTTTTATTTTTATTTTAATAATAATTTATTCATCTCTCTCTATTTCAATTTATATTTATATTAATATATAATATCTACAAGAAAAGATTCGTCCTCTTTAAGCATTAATAAAATATTATTTATAATATAGATATAAAAACCACATTAAATTTTAAAGCGAAATAAAAGTAACTTTTATATAGACACAAGTTTCGTCAGAGAAGAAGTTTGAAGAATTAAAACTTGAGAAGAATATAAAATTTATATAAGCTGAAGTTTTGTAGAAAATAATTTTACATTATTTTAATCTTTGAATTTCTTTTTGCTGCCAGGGTGGTCTGAAAGCAGTGGTATGGACGGACACTATACAGTTTTCCGTGACTGTCGGAGGTCTTTTCACGGTTCTCATGTTGGGAATATTGTCTGTCGGTAGCGTTGGAGATGTTTGGAGAATTTCCGGCGAAGGCGGTCGTCTTATCTTCTTCAAGTAAAGCACAAAAATCAACTCTTTTCATTTTATCAAATATTATATTTTATCAATGCAAAATTAATACCTAATCAAACACATCACATACCAATGTTCAGCTCGTATGACAATAAAAACAATGATAAATTATTAAATTAAGGCCATGTGTAACGAGCAATACGAAATTATTTTATTATTTAGAAGAAAATTCTTAATTTGACATAATAATTACACAAACGTTTCGAGCTCTACTTGCTCCTCTTCAGTGCGCAAAAAATTAAACGGAATATTAGTATAACGCATTTTCAGGCCAGCGTAAAAAACAATGCAAAATTAATACCTAATCAAACACATCACATACCAATGTTCAGCTCGTATGACAATAAAAACAATGATAAATTATTAAATTAAGGCCATGTGTAACGAGCAATACGAAATTATTTTATTATTTAGAAGAAAATTCTTAATTTGACATAATAATTACACAAACGTTTCGAGCTCTACTTGCTCCTCTTCAGTGCGCAAAAATTAAACGGAATATTAGTATAACGCATTTTCAGGCCAGCGTAAAAAACAATGCAAAATTAATACCTAATCAAACACATCACATACCAATGTTCAGCTCGTATGACAATAAAAACCTTAATGGCCTTAATTTAATAATTTATCATTGTTTTTATTGTCATACGAGCTGAACATTGGTATGTGATGTGTTTGATTAGGTATTAATTTTGCATTGTTTTTTACGCTGGCCTGAAAATGCGTTATACTAATATTCCGTTTAATTTTTTGCGCACTGAAGAGGAGCAAGTAGAGCTCGAAACGTTTGTGTAATTATTATGTCAAATTAAGAATTTTCTTCTAAATAATAAAATAATTTCGTATTGCTCGTTACACATGGCCTTAATTTAATAATTTATCATTGTTTTTATTGTCATACGAGCTGAACATTGGTATGTGATGTGTTTGATTAGGTATTAATTTTGCATTGTTTTTTACGCTGGCCTGAAAATGCGTTATACTAATATTCCGTTTAATTTTTTGCGCACTGAAGAGGAGCAAGTAGAGCTCGAAACGTTTGTGTAATTATTATGTCAAATTAAGAATTTTCTTCTAAATAATAAAATAATTTCGTATTGCTCGTTACACATGGCCTTAATTTAATAATTTATCATTGATTATATTTTATATTTTAAAGTTTATTTTTTGGATTATTTTTTCTTTTTCCTCCTTTTCTTCTTCCTCTTTTTCCTCTTCTTCTCTTTCTTTATCTTTAAAAAAAAAAATATTTTAAATGATAATTTTTATTACAGTATGGATCCCAGTCCATTAGCTAGAAATACCTTTTGGGGTATGCTTGTGGGTATGACGGCAACTTGGATTGGGCATCTCGCTATTCATCCAGGAGCAGTGCAAAGATATCTCTCAGTGCCCAGAGAGATCGATGCCAAACAGTGAGCCCTTCGTAATCTGGGCGATCTATAATTTGCAATCAAATTTCACCTGCTAATTTCATATTCTGCTATTCCATTGAATTTTACGTTGCAAATTATAGGATCGTTTAAAACGGAAAGATACCATGAAAATTCAGGAATAATGCTTAATTTATTTTTATTATAGCGGCATAGTAATTACTGCAATAGGAATGATTGTAGTTAAACTGATCACCGTATTCACTGGATTAATCATGTTTGCCAAATATTACAACTGCGATCCTCTTCTGACCAAAGTACGAGCAAAATGATATTCTCAAATCACTATTTAAAAAAATTACAATATATATATATATATATATATATATATATATATATATATAAAGGAAATAATATTTCCTTATATATCTTCTCTTATATCTTCTCTTATAATGATCTCTCGATCATGAAAAATTTTATATCATTCATAGGCGCATTTTAAAATATTATTTTAAAGTTCGTGAAAAAAAGAAAGTAATTATGATATATACATATCTTTTCTAATTACGTATATCTTCTTTTATTTTCTCTATTCTTCTCTAATCATGCATGTTCCAAGTAGCAAACTGACGTCATTAAACGCCAAAATGATGTACGTTTGCTATCAGGAGTATGTCTTCTTTTATAATGGTCTCTCGATTAGAAAAATAATCTTATATTCGTTCATAGGCAATAAGCCGCACTGATCAGACCTTACCGTACTATGTAATGGACGTCGCTGGACATCTGCCAGGACTTCCGGGATTATTTCTAGCGGGTTTGGTGAGCGCCGCGCTTGCGACCATGAGCGCCAGTTTGAACACCGTTTCCGGTACCATTTATGAAGACTTTATAAGTTCGTGGATCCCCGATAGCCCCAAGAAGGAAGCTATCGCTGCTAATATTATGAAGGTAATAAGCTCTACATCTTATAACATTCCTATTTTTCGGTGATTTAAGCGTAGGCTAAAGAAACTGAAGTTAAAGTTGAAGCTATAAAGCTGAAGCTAAAACTAAAGCTGAAGATGAAGCTAATTGTTTAATTGACTTATATTTTTTAATTGACTTATATTTAGGGTATCGTTTTGATAATGGGAGCGATCTCAGTGGGCTTGGTGTTCCTGGTCGAGCGGTTGGGTCCGGTCTTTCAGATAGCCCTGAGTACACGTGGTGTAACCGATGGGCCTATGTTAGGTCTCTTCATACTAGGAATATTGGTACCCTGGGCGAACGCGAAAGGGGCTTTGTTCGGCGGTTGCGTCGGTTTAATTAGCATGCTTTGGATGGTGGGAGGCGCTCAATGGTATACCATGCAAGGCAGGATCAAGCACGACTCGCTGCCCACGTCAATCGATGGTTGTCCCTATCCCCTGAACGAGACCCTTACGATCGCGATACCGACGACGACCTCGCCGACCTGGACGGATCCCGGCGAGGAGCCGATGATACTGTTTCAGATATCTTTCATGCATTATAACATTATAGGAGCGGCGATTGTTGTCGTCGTCGGAATCATCGCGAGTTACGCGTTCGGCGGAGTGAACTTGGAAAGCGTGGATCCTGATCACATTGCACCGATTATGAGAAGGTATGTAGGGCAAAGGAGATTTCAAGACTTCGAGCAATCAGTTTTAATTTAAGCATGCATTTTCTTCTTCATTCTCTTTTTCCCTTATTTTTATTTGATTTATCAAATTTAATTATTAAAAATAAAATTTTGAGTATTCTAAGATGCATCCATATTTTTAAATTAAAAGAAATTGTGTAGACGTCAAATTTTTTATAACAATTCATTAATAAATGAATTTTTTATCTTTCAACGCCAATTATGATTTTTAAAACACTTACGATAATCTGACAAAAAATCATGAGCAGAAATTTATCAATTTCTAGCTCCGGCAACAAATTGCAATAATAAAAATTGATTGAATATTTTTTATTTTATTTGAAAAGAGCAAAATTACTTTAACTTTTTAAAAATAAAAGCACCGTTTTTTTCTAATCGCAATATATATATATATATATATATATATATATATATATATTAAAAGACAGCAAAATAAATTCAATGATTATATTGTATAGGTATATTATTTTAATTTACATATTACAACTTAATAAATCATTCAAAATTTATTACGATCAAAATTGATCGTTTTAATTATTTTTTTAAATGAAAATAATACTATTTTTTCTAATAGTAATTAATGTATTAAAGGAACAGCAAAAGATTTAATGATAATATATAATACCATTTTAATTTACACATTACAACTCAATAAATCACTTAAAATTTTTACGATCAAAAGTGATCAAATTGATCGTTTTAATTATTTTTCAATTTAATATTGCTTTATTTTATTTATTTTGATTATTTTGATAATTTTTTTTGGCTAAATACTAGTAAACATACATCTATATTTTCCATATTTTAATAGCAATTTGTTGTGGTGGTGTATCAGGCATTCAGATACACAATAAACTGATAAATTCACTGATCAAGTTAATAGCTAAACTATTACGGACAACATAAAGTCAAGTTATCAAGTTCTGTTTACTATTTACATTTTTAATGAACTTTCTCGATAGCGAAACATTACGCTTTAGCAAATTTTAAATTATTTATTAAGTTGTAAAATGTAATTTAAAATAACATTGTGTGTGCACATTGAATTTATTTTGCTATCCTCTATATCATTAAAAAACAGTAGTTTCATTAAAAAAATCAAGATGATCTTATTTTTTATCAAACAAAAGACATTTGATCAAGCAATTTTTATTATTGCAATTTATTGTCAATTAGAAACTGATAAATTAACGTTAATGATTTTTTGTCAGATTATTATAAATGCTTTAAAAAATCGTTACAAATACTACCTCATATAAATATTATATTATATTTTTAAAAATATATTTTTCGCTCTTTTTCTAAAAATATCCAATTTTCTAAATCCGATTAGAATTTCATTAATAAAAAACAAAAAAGCGTTGAATTTCGCTTGTCGTCACTTTATTATCAAAGGTGCATAATAATAACCCATGGATCGTCATGGATTGTATATACCTGAGATAACGTAATCATTATGTGCGCATAAAGTATTCTAGGCTTATCACGAGATTTACTTTCGCGGTCTCTCCTCGTAAAATGCACAACTCCTGTTACGTTTTTCTCTCCTCATCAGGTTCCTCCCTCCGCGAAAGTACGCCGAGGTCTCATTGAGAGAGGTACCGCCGTCATTGCTGGACGTCTCATCGAAGAAGTGATCGCGATCATGTTAGGTGACAATTGAGTCGGTCGGGATTGATCTGATCGAGAGGACTGCATAATAAATTATCTCTCTCTTTCGAGCCTCACCGACGGCGTTTCCGAGTCATCTGTCAGCCGATAAAGGGGTATATCCTTTATTGATTAATAGACGCATGCGCCAACTATTTTGGTACATACACATGTCGGATTGTTTTCGATCTCTCAGTAGCGTTGCCAGCATCTGTCTCGGAAGCATCATCGGTGTCTTCCCCAGTTGTCTTCTAATTGGATCCGGTGTTACGAAAAGGGTTCATTACTACCCTGGATCCTCGCTATTGAGATTGAATATATTTGCTCGTGACTAGTTTTATAATCGGTTTTTCGACTGTCCGACGAATAATCTAGCAGATTAGGCTAACTTTAATCGAACCATAGTTTATAACAGTTTCTGCAACGACAATTCGAAATATACTACGCACATGTCTATTGGGATCTACTTTGGCCACCCTCTCATGCGACCCAGCGATTGAAGTTAGACTCGTGGACTCGGAGGGAGAGTTACGTCCCTGGAGATGCTCCTCGGGGTTGCTCGGGGACGGCCGAAAGCTTTCGGGGATGAGACGACCACGCCTACACGTGGACGGGCGAGTGTCCTCGCAAGTGGCAGCAGATATCCTCGGTTCGAGCTCGCGACGTTCAACAAGTACGGGCAGCGATGACAATCTCGGTTCGACGATTCCTCCTCGATCGCGACGTTCCTCTTACGACAAGCTGATGACGTGTGTGCGACATGTGACGTTGCCGATTTGTCTCATCCGAGTAATGATGGATCAGTCTGCCGTTAATCAAAGATTCACTACGTGCCAAACTAAGTAGGTGGAATGAAAAACCCTCGCTTCGCGTGTACAAAGTACCAACGACGAAGAAGCAAGAGGATTGGATCGTTGACCAAATCGTTTTATCCTAATTTGGATTCATCGGATAAAGCTGAAGTGATTATCTTCTTCATACTCATGATTAACAAGCTTGAGACTGGGTGATCTGGAAGAGCTACTTAGAGATTCATAAAGAGAAGTGGATCCTATAAAGTTTGGTGGAGAAGCAAGAGGATTGAATCGTTGACCAAGTCGTCTTATCCTAATTAGGATACATTAGTTGAAGCTGAAGCGATTCTTCTTCACACTTATGATTAGCAAGCTCGAAGCTAAGCAATATCTGGAAGAGCCACATATAGAGGTTTATAGAGAGAGATGGATCCTGCAAGGTTTGGTGAAGAAGTGAGAGAATTAGACCGTTGACCAAGTCGTCTTATCCTAATTAGGATCCACCGGATGAAGCTGAAGCGATTATCTTCTTCACATTCATAATTAGCAAGCTTGAGACTGGGCAATCTGGAAGAGCCACTTAGAGATTTATGAAGAGAGGTGGATCCTACAAGGTTTGAATCTTTCATAAGCCTGAACGCCTTAGACAATTTCGTCAGAGTACCTGAGAGGATTCGCGAGCGCGTGGGTACAATATGGATAATCGTTTGTGAAGGAAAGTGGAAAAAGAAGAATATCCCAAGTCAAATCTTGGTCTTTATTTGATCGGTTGGAATGCCGAAACACAGCCGCGTCCGGCCTTTAATAATAGATAAAAAACGTAGGCGACCGTGCCGGAAAAAGAACAGAAATCGAGAGCCTCCGGAGAAAGAGGAAGAGAGAAGGAGACAGATAGCTAGCTGGATAGGGAGAGAGAAAGTATTTGGCTTTTGGCCCGACCGATGTTAAGGAAAAACGTGCGTCACAGTATTTTCCCCGGTCGGGAATAGAAACGACTGGCCCGCGTCATGTCCAGCGACTTTGTCCCTCCGGGTCTTCCTCGGAAAAAATGCGCCGGCTCGTCATCGCGATGAGAGAAGATACGCGTGTCCGCGTATATCTTCCTGGGAAATGACGTCGCCGTCGATGCAGAGAAACCTGCTGGGGCTGACGCTGCTGCTGATCGTCGGCCTGACGGTCTTCCTGCTCAGTAGGAAGCTCACGCTGAAGGCGCGCAAGCGGGACGGTCTCCTCCTGGAGATGATCGCCAACATCAGCGGCACCCTGGACCGACTCGACGGCGGGCTCGAGGACGTCGTCGCGCGGACGGGCACCGCGCGGAATCGCTTGCGACATTTGGTCGCTCTTCATCGGGAGAATCTCTTGGTGTGCGCGCTGCTAGGAGAGAAACAGAGACAGAGAAGGACGTCTCCGAGGGGAGGATGAACAAAGTATGTTGCGGGATCATTTATATAAAAGAAGAGGTTCTTCTCGGATGTAGTCTAATTAAGGATGGGGTATGTTAGATCGATGCGTGAAAAATTGAATATATATTTTACACACTGAATTTAATTTAATTTATTTTATTTTATTTTATGTTTTATCTTTAATTAATAATCGCGTGATCTTCAACAGCGATGGGAAATTAGGTATATTTTACAAGTTTAAATTTGTTTGCATATTTGCATATTTGGTTTCGAACTCGCTTATTAGGGCTGATTGTTCCAACTTCTTGAGAAATTTTACTCTACAAAATTTTTTTTAACTTATCTGGAAAGAAATAAAGGTATGCTACCTGTTGGGTAAAATTTACCAAAAAAAATTAGAACAACTCTTATTTAGAAAAAAACAATACTTTATGTCAAATATTACGAAGAATCGATTATTTAAGAATAAAATCAAACTTGATTTGAATCGGATTTTTAAATACATATTGAACTTGATTCCATCGCTCTATACTCTGGAACTGATATTCTATATAATTTTCAAAGTTATTAAAAACAATTATTGAAAAAATTAAAAAATTAAACAAAATTATTAAAAACAAGTATTTAAAAAATTTTTAAATTAAAAAAAATTATTATATACAATCATTAAAAATTAATTATATTTTTACTTGACTATCAGTTTATCTATTAACTTATTATTAATTAATAAATTAATAAAATAATTATTCTCTCTTTCTCGCATCGATCTAATATGTAGGAAATAACAAATAAATTCTGTACTTGATAAGACAATCATCTGTAAGCGAATCGTATTTTTACGCTACAAGAATGTATATGTAGTGTGGAATGCACATATATATATTAGATAGTCAATTCCGTCTATTTTTTCTGAAACTAGAAGAGACGATGATAAGTCGCACATTTTGTGGGAAACTAGATGTTCAAGGTAGGGGGCCAATTAACAAAATTCGCGATTAACGAGAAACTGTTTTCGCTGAAAATGCTGAATATCAGAAGGCGGTCGAACAGTTAAATTGTATATTACTATTAATTGTTTGCACTTGTCACGCAAACAATTGTTATTATAAATGCACACACACATATATATATATATATGGAAAACGGGAATTGTCCGCGAGATCACCGAAAACTGTAGAATTTCGATCGAGTTTGCCTTGAATCAAGTGTGTTTGTGTGTGTGAATATTTCTATATGTTGTATGAATTTTTGTTGCAGAATGTTATCACGATTAGCATATCCTCACACAAAAGCAATTAGCAATATACGTTAAATTAATATAATATAATTAATATACATGTGTCAAATATTCGCGTATTCACGTATTGTTTGCTCGCATGAACAGATTGTTTCAGATTTGTGAGAAATTTCTTCGAAAAAATAAAAAAAATTAAATTAAATTAAAAAATTAAAAAATTAAATTAAATTAAAAAATTTTAAAATTAAAAGAAAACTTTAATGTTGAAGATAATATTTAAAGAATATTGAGGAAGGATTTGTCGAGGAAACTGTTACTAAAGTATTTCTTCTAGATCTGGAACGCTCTGTACTTATCGAGATACTCTTAATAAGAAGTTGATACACAAATAACGATTTAGTGTATTTACGTTTACGTGTTATATATATATATATATATATATATATATATATATATATCAAATAGACCAACGTGTCAAACGACGTGTCAAACGTGAATCATACGTGTCATTTCGGACAGCATATTTTTACTTGATGTGTGCGCATAAAAGAGGCGCGGATTATCTTTCCTCTTGCAGAGGGGAGGAAATCGTATGCATAATTATTTTTATAACTCACTTTGGAAAAAGATGCGAAAATAAATCGTTTGTGTGTACTTAGTGCATTTTCTTTCATATTTACCTTATAATCATTGAACTTCAATTATTAGATTGCGATTTATGAAGATTGCGAAGAAAATGAAAAATCTGAACTTTCGACTTTTTTGCTTTAAAATCTCAACAAACTGTTTTATAATTCATGGAGTTAAATCAAGAAAATATTTAAAATCATCGGATTAATTCTTTGTAATTTATGTATTTCGATAAATATATAATTTGGAGAGCAATTGTAGGTGGATCAACTAATAATTAAGCTAGAAAAATTGCATAGATGAATTAAAGATTTTTCCATCACAATGGATTATTATTTATAAAAGATGTTCATTATATCGATCATCTTCAATCACAACGCAAACTATACAGGTATGTAGTTAGTAAATTTTGTATATATGTACCTATAACGTTGCGATACACTTTGCGTTATCATCAGAATAATAAAAATACTTCTTATCGGTCTGGCGATACAGCATATTTTTCACGTCAAGATTTTAGCATCGAGAAATGTCTTATATATAATCGGTATATTTATTCTTCATGCATAGCTGCAAGGATAGCTTCTTTATGCATAACTTCAAACATATATAGCTTCTTCATGCATATATAACTTCAAGTATATATCTTCTTCATATATAACTTCAAGCATATAGTTTTATGTATAACTTCAAACATATATAAAACTTCTTCATGCATAACTTCAAGCATAACTTCTTCATGCATACTTCAAGCATATACTGGGTGTCCGGTGACTCGCGTTTCACATATAATGGGAGATTCCTGAGACGATTTGGAGACGATTTTTCTTCAGTGAAAATGTCGAGAAAAGTAATCATTTTTTTAATGTTCCTAAGTTTTGATATCACGTACCTTTGTAACTAAGCCTTGAATTAAAAAATTCTACTAAAATAAAAACTTTACCTAAAATTAACTAAAAAATGTAGTTTTAATAATTTATTTTTACAAGATTTATTAGTTTACAAAAAAGCTTTTATTTTCAATCGTTTATAACTCGAAAATTATTGGTACCTGAACATTTTCGCTGAGGAAAAATCGTCTCCAAATCGCCTCAGAAATCTCCCATTAACGTGTGAAACGCGAGTCACCGAACACCCTGTATATAGCTTCTTCATGTATAACTTATTCAAGCATATATATCGTTTCTTCATGCATAGCTTGTTCATGCGCTGCAAAGCGCATTTAGTCGAAAGAAGATATATATATATTCATGGAGTTATGTATGAAAAATATTAAACACCGATTACGAGGCAAGGTCTCTCGACGATTCTGTTTGTCCCCGTTATCTTTAGCGATTATGACATTATTATTATTAACTGGCTGAACTTGATACACGATAAGTACGCGCAGCAATCACTTGCTCTATCAGCCGATAAGGCAGATTTGTACGCTGCGCTCTTTTCACATCTCTTCCAGCAGTTAAAGCGCCAAGAGTCATTAGTCATTAGGAAAAATAAAACCATACAACACTTTTTAGTTTTTTCTCTCTCTACGTCGCAGCTGGTTTCAAGATCTCAGTCGAGCGTTATTTACGTCAACACCGCAGGATGGCAGAAAAGAGAAGTGCGTATATCTCGTAAATAAACATCATATGGAACCCAATTGTAACAATTAGATCGCAATTGTGTTATGATAAATATAAAACGTAAATTTCTAATCTAACCTGTATACAGGGTATCCGGTAACTACCAGACCAACGATTACAAATGGATTCTTTGGTCAATTTGGGAACGATTTTTCCTCAACGAAAATGTCGAAAAAAGTCATCATTTTTTACAACTTTCCAATATTTGTCATGAAATTAACTGAAGAATGTAATTATATGTTAGACTTTTAACTCCAAAACGTTTAGTTTTCAAAAAACCCATTTCAATCGCTTATTATAACTCGAAAATTATTGACTTCTCAACATTTTTGCTAAGGAAAAATCGTCTCCAAATTGGCCAGAGAATCCGCCCTTAATCATTGGCCCGTTAGTTACCGGACACCCTGTATATGTTTTGAACGATCGACCAGTGCTGGATTACACGTTCTATATTCGCATAACGATTCAATTGTAATAATCGGAGCCGTTATCATAATTGCCCCGCATTGTTTTGAAGTGATTTTGAAATGACCTTAGCATGCTGCGGACCGGGCTACAGGAGTCCAAGAGCGGCGATGCTCGAGGGACCCCGTGAAAAGCTCATGTACGTCGTTGGGATACACACAGATCCCGAAAAGGCCGATGTCCTTTGCACGGTCGACGTGGATCCTGACAGTCCCACGTACTGTCAGGTAAAATAAAAATATTTGAAAGATATATATAATATAGACCCAGTAATAAACTGACATTAAACGTGAAAAAAAATTCTTATAGATAATAAGATTTCTCTCTTTCGTTAGATAATACACAAACTAAGAATGCTAGCGGTTGAGGATGAATTACATCACTCCGGCTGGAACATCTGTAGCAGCTGTCACGACTCGTTACGTAAACGCGATACCCTGGTGTTACCATGTCTTATGTCAGACCGGGTTTATCTCATTGATACGAGTGATGAAAAAGCGCCTAAGATTAAGAAGGTACAGATAAAACTTCTCCATAAGAAATCTCATATCTCGCATCAGATGCATTATTATACAGAGTGATTCTAAATGAGATAAATTTTAGATGATTTTTTTCGAAAATTAAAGGGAATCTTTCACATAAACATACTCTCTTATGTCCCTCCCTGAAGAATAATATACATATTAATAAAGATATGCAACTTGAACAAACCCAAATAGCAAACTGACGTCATTAAACGTTAAAATGACGTCTAATAACGTCAAAATGACGTAGGCTTGCTACCTGGGAGATATCCTAATTGCTTGCTGAAGCGATACAATTTATTAATTGTTTTTTATAAGGTTCTCGAACCGAAAGAGATGCACAAGTATGGATTATCCACGCCTCATACTTCTCATTGCTTGCCAACTGGCGAGATAGCAATCTCTACCATGGGGAATCTCGAGGGCGACGGATTGGGCGAATTCTTCTGTATCGACGCAGAGACCCTGGAGGTGAAGGACACGTGGACGAAAGGCGACGTTAAAGCGAACTTCGGATACGACTTCTGGTATCAGCCGTATCACGACATCCTCGTCGCCTCTGAATGGGGCGCGCCTAAAGTTTTCAAACATGGATACATTCCACAAGACGTTTACAATCCCAGTAAACTTCCAAACAGCATATTTTATCCCTAATAGCACAACATATTCGAAAGATATTCAGAGGATATCTCGGAGGATATTCGAACATCCTCAGGATGTTCTCTGAATGTCTTCGGGATATGTATGCCAGTTGTGAATAAGATGAGAATCTATTTGTCTCGCAGAATACGAAATGTATCATTTCCCGATTTGCAGAGGCTTACGGCAGAAGCTTGAACGTTTACTCGTGGAACGAGCGCAAGCTGAAGCAAACCATCAATCTGGGAGAGGACGGAATCGCGCCCCTGGAGATCCGATTTCTTCACAATCCCTTGGCAGCTGAAGGATTCGTGGGTTGCGCGGTGTCGTCGAATATTTACCGATTTTACAAGGCGGAAGATGATTCGTGGAAGGCGGAGAAGGTGATCCAGGTGTCACCGAAGGAAGTTGAAGGCTGGGCGATGCCGCTGATGCCAGGTGCTGCGAGAATTATTATTAATCCCCTTTTATATTTTTCATAATTTCTTCTTCACATTTTTAAAACCGCTCATTCTCGGCTCAGGAGGATCCAAGTGATATGGAAGTTTTTGAATGACAACAGCTTCTATTATTTGGACCCGAGCGGTATATATTAGTATTAAATGTTGAAATGTGGAATGATATTAATATTATTATGAGGGGATTCGCTTCGCGGAATTTTTTCCGCATTACTGGTTTTTCACTCTCTTCCTTCTCCGCCAACTCGTTCATTGACGATCACACGCAATTAGAAGAGTCTAAATGAGTCTTCCTTTTCAGGTATGATTACCGACATCCTTCTGAGTCTCGACGACAAGTACTTGTATCTGTCCAACTGGTTGCACGGCGACATCAGGCAGTACGACATCTCCGACACTAGAAATCCGAGATTGACCGGTCAGATCTTTCTGGGCGGGTCAATACTGAGCGATTCGCAAGTACGAATGACTCGGGACGAAGAACTGAGCGATCAGCCTGATCCGGTCTACGTGAAGGGACGGAGGTTGCACGGTGCTCCGCAGATGTTGCAGCTGAGTCTGGACGGACGTCGCTTGTACGTCACCACGGCGATCTTCAAGCCGTGGGACAAGCAATTCTATCCCGATCTCTTCAAGTAAATGCTGAAGAACCTTTTCTTCTTCCATTTGACATAAGATTTCTTTTACACAATTTGCTCGTACGATCTAACAATACTTTCGTATCTAGATACGGGTCGACAATGGTGAAGCTTGATGTCGACGTCGAGAATGGCGGCATGAAGCTAGATCGTCAATTCCTCGTTGATTTCGGCGCCGATAAGAGCGATATTCTGCTGGCGCACGAGATGCGGTGAGAAATACCTCGTAACTTTTATTGATATCCTTCTCTGCAAAAAAAGATAAATTAGTGAAATACAAATAAAGTAGTTTTTTTCATTTTTTATCTATTGTAAGTTTTATTTTATATAGAATTTTTTTATATCGTCTTGTCAATTTTGTGTAGATATCCTGGAGGAGATTGTACTTCTGACATATGGCTACCAGAAAAGTAATGGTGATTGGATCGAAAAAAATAATAAAGATAATAGAAACTTATATCTTCGGGAATATATGCGTTATTGATTTTATATTCATATTATTTTGTACGATTTATCTTCTTTAATAAAGTTTCTCAGCCTAAGAAATTATTCGTGGATACCTTTTATTGGAGATATTAAAGGAACATCTAAGAGATGAAAGGAGTAAATAGAGTGAAAAGTACTCACATCTGTGTTTCAATAGTGTTTTTCTTATTAGTCTTATTCCAGCATTGCATCAAGTAATATAGTAAAGGTTTCGTATTTTTTTTGTAGAATTATACATAATATAAATAATCAATTTACCCTTTTTTTCGAGGTTTTACACAAATAAAATTCGTCTACGCCAAACTGGTGGTCGTACGTTGTGTAAAGTTCATCGAAAAGCTTTGTGTACTAGAAAAAATTTGAAAATCTTAGAGCTGCACTATGAAATTTTGTTACGTTTCAATAAAATGTTGCATTATCTGATTTTATTTATTTTCGTATATCATTTTCGTGTGTCATTTGTATAGGATATTTTAGGAAAAACCTGTATATTGTAGAAATATATATTCTAGAGACTAAAAATAAGAAGATATTTATATAAGATTTAACAATGTCTCTTGTTTTAAAACACAGTAAAATTATTTTAATTAATAATCAACTATGCAATTGTGTAAAATAAGTAAATATAATTATTAAATTATTAAACTTATTTTTTACATATATAAAGTTATTTATTACAAATAATTCCTAGTAAAGTAAAAAATTTCTACCAAATTAATAATTTTTTAAACTTTTGTTTTTACAAGATTAGAGTTTGCATAGATTTTTTTTCATTATGCCGGCACATGTATATAGCATGACAGGTTTCTCCTAAAACAACCCTGCACATATCACTTAATAAGCTGTGCAAGACTAAAGAAATATATTCATATAAATATTGCACATAATTTAGTAAGGAAACAACAAACGTTTGAAAGAAACGAGCGTCTATCATTACTTCTGCAATGTATATATGTGAAAATCTTTATTTACGACAGCATTATTTAAGCAGTTAAAACATATGACTCGGAAATGTGCAACGCCAGAGAGCAGCGATGTTGGCTACGAAGCTAATGAATTTTGTTCTTTTTTTTTTGCCCGGATCGTCCGATACTAATAACATCAAAAAACTCACAAACCGAGTCGACGTGATAAACTTTGCAAAATTATGCGCGCGGAAATCATTTTAGTTCGATTTTCCAAATACTTATATTTGCACGCGCATATATATGTATATATTTATTCATGTATGTATGTGTGTTGTGTGTGTATATCTGTATGTTTGTGTGTGTACATATTTTATATGCGCTGATTTTGAACTTATTAACAATAACAGACTAATTTTCGAAGTTAAATCGCGGATACTTTTACTTAATTTTGTCTTTTGATTTGGTTTCAATCGTTAAAAAATAATGCTGCATGATCAAATATGTCTGTATACATACTGCGTGTATATGCATCTAAAATCATAATTATAAGCGTTGCATCGGTTGCGAAAAACCGATCAGATGACTCAACTGAAATGCCAGACGCTTTCAAAATCCCTTCGATGTACCATCTATGACATTACGCAATTGTCTTGCATGTAATACTTAGTTGGTAGGTAAGCTGGGATCGTCGCTACGATCGAGACTTTCATCATTATCATCGGACTTCCCGTCAATATATCGTCAGCCAAACTTCTCGCGACTACACTGTTAGCGTAAGAATTACGAGGATGCCGATTCTACGCCTCCCCCAAAACTTCTCGTGGTTCCCAAAAGAATAAGACTTGTCTACGCTACCATTTATGTGCCCAAATTTTAATATACCATACATATAATCTTCCTCACAAGACGAAACAAAAAAAAAATTTTTTTAATGAAGAAAGAAGAGACACTCGTTAGACCCTAATAATATAATAGATTTCCCGCCACGGTTTTTGAGACAACTATAGAATCAGCATTCAGTACAGTGGATTTTCAGTTGTCGCGTCGGAGAGATATTGAGATATCCTTGGAAAAACCGACTTGTTTCTTGAGTTGACTTGTTTCCTTGGATGACACTCCGCCATTTATCCGGTTTCGAGAGCGGAGTGTGGTTGATGTTTTGCCTCCTACGGCAATGTAGGACGACATAGATACGACGGTACGAGCTTGAGTACCGTCGTGTAAGACGAGTATCGAGCCATCGGGACGCGCGAGCGCCAACCGTCGTTCGTTCAGACCCACGGTGTCCAGCCTTCGTACAGCAAGGCCAGGTTGTCGTTGCTCGATGCTTCGCGTATCACGTATTCCACCTGTTCGGCCGTGGTGTACTTGCGGTTCGGTTGCGGGTCGCGACCCTCCAGCTTCATGCGCACGCGGCGCCACACGTTCAGCGCGTAGGCGTTCCGCTCTTGTACGGCTGAAAGAAAATGATGTAAAAGAAGATGACGTAAGCAATTTGCAATAAAGAAAATAATGTGAAGACAATTCTTAATGAAGAAGATAATGTGAGAAAGAAGCTAATATAAAAAATAATGTAAAAGAAGATTATGTAAGTAATATGCAATAAAGAAGATATAATGTGAAGACAATTCTTAATGAAGAAGATAATGTGAGGAAGAAGCTAATATGAAAGAGGATAATCTAAAAAGAGATGATGTAAAAGCAGATTGAAAAGATTGATATCTAACTACGCAGCTGCAAGTATTGAATTATTATCTTTGCCCATAGTTGGATATTTGGCTAACGTGAAGACAATTTTTAATAAAGATGTGAAGACAATTTTCAATAAAGAGAAAGAAGATAATATAAAAGAAGATAATATAAAATAAAATGATGTAAAAGGAGCTAATGTAAACTTTTGTTGAAAATTGAGAAAATTGATGAAAATCTAACTACACAGCTGTGAGTTTGAAGCTATCTTTGCCGTAGTCAGATCTCTGGTTAATGTGAAAACAATTTTTGACAAAGATGTGAGAGAAAGAAGATAATATGAAAGAATATAATAAAAAAAGATGTAAGCTGATGTGAATAAGTAATGTGAACAAAATTGAGAAGATTGATGAAAATCAAACTATTTAGCAACTACACCGATACCTTTGCCTGTAGTCGGATCTCTGGCTAATGGTGTTCCTTTCCTCGGACTCAGGCATACGCTCTCTTGTCGTATCAGTCGATTACCCTTCTTCTTCAGACCGTCCGGCTTTTCTGCGCCCTTGGCCGGATTTAACTTGTGCTCGCTCGCAAACTCCAGCAGTTGATTGTACAAACCGGGTGCTTTGATCGCCATCGCCTCTAAATCTCCCTTGATCGCCAAGCCGCGAGTCGAATCAAAATTATTGGACTCTAGTTCCTTCACAATTGTTGACACGCTCTCTGTGAAAGAACGATAGGCGGCCAAGAAATCCTGCAGACCGTCAATGTTCTCCTGTTTCACCATCGTCTTCAACAACACCCTGACGTCCGACATGAGTCGATGATGCTCGGCGAGCACGCTCTGTAAATTCTTCACTCGCTCCCTCAAATAATTCTCGGCGGCGAAGAGAGCTTCTTGCTTCTCCTGTAGCTTCTTTTGGGTATCGACTATCGCTTCGGACACGATCTTCTCGGCTTGCTTCAGCCACGCGGTGTCCACGTTATTCTCCAGCTGCAACAGCTGTACGAGGCTCTCCTCTATCATGGTGACGGTGATGTTCAGGTTGGCCGTCAGCACGCAGCTCTCCTCCCAATGTTTGATCAGCTTTACCAAATTGGAGTCGTGCGTCATGCTCTCCGACGTTCTGGTCCTCAGGGCCTCATAGTGCAGGATGGAATTGCACGTGTTCACCACCATCGCCGCTAGATTGTGCTGTCTGGTCAGTTTCTCGCACGACGATAACACCGCGTTGTCGAACGCGGACATCACCTCCCCCAATGCCGGATTCGCGCCGGCCGCCCACTTGAGACGTTGCACCGCGCTCGAGACGAGGTTCTGCTGCTGCTCTCGAGCCTCGCACACTCGCGACTGCAGGTTCGATAGCGCCGTCGCGGTTTTTCGCAGCTCCAGCATGAAGGTGGATCGATCTGGAAGAACATCACATTTCAGATTTTTGCTTAAAATGCCCAGGTAGCAAGCATACGTCATTTTAATAACGATAACGTCAAATAACATCATTAAACATCATTTTAACGTCGATGGCGGCATCAAACGTCAAAATGACGTCATTTTGATGTTTAATGACGTCAGTTTGCTATTTGGATGTAAATTACATTTTACTCTACTCGAAAAACAAATAGATAAAAAGAGAAAAAAAAAACAATAAAATATATGTCACACACTTAAAGGATTCATTGGATTTATGTTGGATCTCAGCATCATGACATCTTCATGCAGCCAGTGATGGGTCATCAGCTGAAGCTGAAGCCTTTGCAAGCTGGCTCTAGCTACTTCGACGCTTTGCTGAGCCAATCTTGCGCCTTGTTTGCGCCGCCAAGCGCTTTCCAAGGTGCTGCTCAGTGCGCCGGCTTGTGCCAAGCTCGAGCCCGAGAACAATCCCTTCTTCAGGCACAGATCCACCATCTTCCGGCACAGCTCCTCCAGCGAGACCTTGCTCTCCGCTCCGATATCCCGTTGCTCGATCTCGGTGGTTACGTTCAGGCCCATGCGTTGTAGTAGGAAACACAAGACGATCGCCAATGTTTGCGATGTGACCCCGAGCAACTGTCTCGAAACGTAGTCGGCCGTGAACATCCGGACAGGTTTATTAAGTCGTTCGTCGTCGTATACGTTCGCTAGTCCGCCCTTGAACGCGGTAGCGATATCTCGGCACATCATGAAGAACTCCTGTATCGTGTGCAATCTTTTAATTAAGAATATGTCTTCCAGAACTTGTCTAGCTGCCTTGTTGAAGATCGGCGCCGACATCTCTTTAGCCTCGCGTATCTGATCGATCTTCTTCCAATTCAACGGTATGTCCAGCGAGCTCAAAGTGGTCACCAAGGCGTTACCCTCCATCTGTAGTTTCTCAAACAGCCCGTTAAAACCCATTAGCAGCATTTGACCCGGAGTCAAGGTCTCCTCCTGATTCAGGTCCTGAACCTCGGCCGGTCGCGAGAGCAACGCCTCGAATCGCAATCTCATATTAGCCACTATACCCTGTATCATCGCGTGCGGACTCTCCATCTCCATCACGGTGAATCGTAGATGCATCTCGAGCTGCCCCAGAATGTCACCGAGAGATGTCCCGGTCGTTATTATGATTTCGCTGAGCTCGCCTATCATTCGCGTGACACTCGGCTCCTCCGTGATGATCGTCTTCATCGCTTCCGGTAGTATGATGGTCTGAAAATTGTAATTGAGCTCTTGCAAGCCCTTGTAGATGCAATCGGCGCTCTTCAGGCACTTCAGTATCAGCGAGATCTTAGGGTCGTTGTTAGTCTTGTGGTTCTCCGGTATCAGGGTGATTAGTTCGGCGATCAGCGACGACATCAAACGCATCTCGTCCAGAAACCAGTCGCCCTCGCGAGATGTGAGATCCACCAGACAATCTCCGGCGCATTTGGCCGCGCCTTCCATCATCAGGTATCGTTTGTTCAAGGCGCACAGCGCGGTGATGTTCACGCACTCGAGTGCTCTCTCCGCGCCCTTCTCGCGTCGCAGGAAGCCCACGATCTGTGCCTTCGACTCGACGTATGCCTTCTCGATCCTGTTGCCGGCCTCCGGCAAGCCTTCGGACACTATTCTCTCGTAAGCCTTCTTCAGCCTCTCGTTCGACTCGTTCAGGATCGCTTGCATCTGATACGAGAAGGTTATTATCTGCTGAACCTGCGGGTTGTTCGGATTGATCGGATTTAGATTCGCCTCGAACTGCGTCATGATCTCATGACACGCTTCCACGGTGCCAGAGGTCAATAGCTTGTTGGCCCAGGCGTGGTAGAGTACGGTACGATGCTGCGACAGAGTGCTGAGAGGATACAGGCTGCAGATGGCGGAATACTGGCTCAACAAGTCTAGACAGGTGCGTATGAAAATGGACTGCTGGGTGGCCAGCTGTGTCAATTCGTTCTCCGATTGCTCGCATTGCAGTATCATTTGACTCTGTCCGGCGTTCTGCAGGAACTCTTTCACGAGATCGAACACCACGTGGTCCTCTTGACTCGTCGAGGTTCCCAATCCCGCCAGCCACTGTCCCAATTGGGGTCCTCGCACCGCAGCCAACGCGATCTGAAATTAAGGGTGAAAATAATGAAGAGTTGCAGCATTAAGGGTAAAAATAATAAAGAGTTTCATTGTGAAGTTTGATTAATCGTTCGAGACTCACATTATGCATATTGATCTGCTTTTCGCACTCCTCTATCTTATCTTTTAAGCCGGCCTTCGCCTTTTCATGAGCGTCCCGTGCTCGCTTGAACGAGTTGTAACGATTCACGACCGAGTACAAGGCGTGATTCCGACCCATCGCCTGCGCTTCCTTCACCAATGCGAGTTGCTGATGCCGATCCTGCAGCAAATCCTGGCACTGACGTGACGCTTCCGTCGTCTCCATCCAGCAGTTCAAGTGATGACACAGCAGTGGCAAGATTTTGGCCAATTCGTCTCTGCGATATTTCATCATTATAAATGTCATATTTCTAACATATAATTAGCTGAATATAATAATGATAAAAGGTACAATAATACATCTCTGTAAAATATGTTTGAAAAAGAAGAAATATATTTAAAAGAAGAGATGTGCTTAAAAGAAGATATGTGCTTTAAAAAAGTGGTGTGCCTAAAAGAAGGGATGTGCTTAAAAGAAAGAATATACTTAAAAGAAAATATGTGCTTAAAAAAAGAGGTGTGCTTAAAAATAGATATGTTTAAAAGCAGAAATACATTTAAAAGAAGAAATATTTTTATAATAAGAAAATATCCATATAATACTAATTTCGCTTTTAAATTTAACAAGGACCAAATAATTGACTGAATACATTCATCAGTCTGTCTCTTACCGATTAGTCTGCCATTCGACACGCATTTCTGCCGCTCTCACGGCAAACATGGCACGCGTGAGTTCTTGTTCAAGTTGTTTCCTTCCAACACCGGTGCACCTTGCCCTTGCCTGGCAGGCGCCGTAACTGGCTATACTCGTGTCTGCGCCAGCCCGCCAATCTACCAGAGGATCGTAGACGAAGGCCTCCAGCAAGGTCAGGAGCGTCTCGCGGCCTCTGCGCATCACTCTCAAAGTATGCTCGCAGGCAAACCTAAATATACCCTAGACACATAAATAGCAATTTCTGCCATTAGATATATGTACGGCGCTTATTGTCGCGAGGGGCGGGAATATAATAACCATCGATCGCTCGTAATTTCACATTTATTCGACCCTTTTCCTCCCTGCCCGACCCACTGATAGCGACCGATAGTCGGGACAGTACTTGACCAGGGAACAGATGAGCAGATAAGTGAAACCACTCCCTGAAGCGAACGAAGCAGCTTCGTATCTCTCGGCAGATTGTTCCGTATTGATTTCACTCTCGCTCTCGAAAACGTATCACAAACATTCTCATGAAAATAAAAAAGTCGCGTTTTCTCAAGAGAAGGCTCCCGTTTCTTCAAAAGGTGACGAGGAGACAAGCTAGGTGAGTCACATCATATCTTCATTTCGTTCTTCGCGATACAATAGATGAAGAGATACGTTCGAACGCGTTTCATAATATCGATTTTACGTAATCGTGATCCCGGTGTGTTTGCTTTGTTTCATAGAGTACCATCGAGAACCTGTTTCTCTGCGTGTGTGCGGAAGGTAAATGGCCAAGGTAAGAAAGGCCGCACGTTACTGCGACTTCAAACCATATTTAGCCGACTGACTGTTTTCATTTTTTTTATCATGCTTCTGGCGTAGAAATTATATTCACGCAGCAGTTTTACGCAACGCACAACTGAGAGCGCATCTTTATAAGGCAATCGCAAGATCCGGACAGGACATGAATACGTATTCAATCTGATTTCTGTAAATAGTATCTATCCGCGCAAGAGTTTTTATAGCGTCAAAGAAGATACAATTTTGATCAAGCTAATTTTAATTTTAATCTAAAAATACAACGTATCGATGCGATTCGTTATAGAAGAATCTTGTAACTTATTCAAATAGACTTTACAATCTCAGGATCAGAGGTGAAGTGACTAATAATAAGATTCTTGAATCTCAAGAAGTTCTCTGTCGAAGAGAATATAGAATATAAAATCTTATATGTACATGTAATAACGCTTATAATCCTTCTGTCAATGAATAGACTATTTATACATTGAAGAAAAGATGAACTATTATACTGCAGGTAGCAAGCATACGTCATTTTGACGTTTAATGACGTCGGTTTACTACTTGAGACATTAATAGAAGGGCTAAAGATCCTAGTTTATTTTCTTCCAGAACTATGTATCAAGGAGAGAACGTCACTGTCGACCCGCCGTCGAAGTGCGGTGCTAGCAAATACGTGTGGATCTTCGTAGATAGCCTTCTGTTCTTGGTGATCGTTTCGGGAAACATTCTCACGATCCTGGCAATCGCGTGGTCCCGCAAGCTTCGCCACGTCATCTCCAATTACTTCATACTCAATCTAGCGGTGTCGGATCTTCTGGTGGGTATAACGCTGCCGTATCATCTGGCCTTTTACGTTAACTGCAAGTTGCATCAAGACAAAACGATATGCCTCTCCCGCATCGTCATCATCAGCATGGCCTGCGGCGAAAGCATATGCAACCTCATAGCGATCGCCATAGATCGTTACATCGCTATCGTCCATCCGTTGAGTTACAACGCGTACGCGACGAAGAAGCGCGTGATGCTGTTCATAGCAATCAGCTGGGCATGTGTCGTTGGTGTGACGTCGATGCCAATATGTTGGAATTGCTTCAACACCAGCTTGAAGCAGTGCGAACTGGACACGATATTGCCGAGGTAGACCAATCGATGACACAATAATTCATCAATTCGCGATAACGTAATCCGATACGGCGGAGCGAATTTCGATATTCCAGAAGAACAGGTGGTGCTTTCTCGGTCGATCAATTTAATAATTTCAATTTTTTCCATTTCTTTTCAATTACAAAATTATAAACAATGAAATGATTATTCTTTAGTATCTTCTTATCTTCAATATTTTCAATGTCTTCAATATCATTAATATCTTTAATTTTTTCCATTTTAGCTTCTATACCTCCATCTTTTTTCAATTATAAATAACAAAATATATTCTTTTTTAATTTCTTCTTATTTTATATCTTCAATATCTTCAATTTTTCCATTTTTACTTCTTTACTTCCATCTATTTTCAATTATAAAATTATCTATATATATAAATAAATAATAAAATACATTCTTTACTCAACTACGTCATTTTGACGTCGAATGATGTCATTAGACATCAAAGTGGCGTCATTTTGACATTTAATGATGTCAGTTTGCTACTTGAGTATATATATATATATATAGTTTCTTCTTACTTTCAATATCTTCTATATTTTCATTTATCCATTTTAGCTTCTCTTCCTTCAATTGCAAAATTGTACATAAAGAGTATATATGTTTCTCTTTTTTTTTTTGATAGAGAGTACACAATGTATATACTACTGCCGTCATTTTGTCTCAGTTGGATAGCGATGTTTCTACTGTATTGGAAGATTTGGAGAGAGGCGCATATGCACACACGTCGAATGAATCTCAGCGTTATTCCGCACGTCGCTGAGAAAACCGATCGCAAAAGCATACAGGTGATGATGCAGCGAATCAAAGATCCACAAAATTGAGAGAGTAAGTGAAATTACATGTACATTTTCATCGCAGGTGGTGCTGCTGATACTCGGCTGCTTCTCCATTTGCTGGCTACCCTATTGGGTCGTGGTCTGCATAAAGTTCTACGAGGAAACTGTTCAAACTGATGTATATAATATTACGTTTGCATTAGCTCTCGCTAATAGCGGAATGAATCCCTTTATATACGCGTGGAAGAGCACCAATTTTCGCAAGGCCTTTCAGAAAATTTTGCGCTTTAAGTCACCGAATGAGAACTTGAACGCCAGCTTCAAAATGTACTTGGAGAAGCAACGCGAGCTCAAGGATCAGCAAACGAACGTAGCAGAAAATTGTATAAACGGCAATGTGCAAGGACATTCGTCCGATTGTCAATTTAATCTAACGGAAGAGAACACAATTTTATAAACCTAATTTCGCAGATAAAATGTTTCATAGTCGATCCAGAATTTCTAGGATTAAAGAAGATTAAATAATGTAAACATTATTTTTCCTTCCTTTCTTTCTGTTCCTCTTCAAGTTCTCGAGAAACTATTCTAGTATCTCTATCTAGGATTAAAGAAGATTAAATAAATAATGTAAAGATTATTTTTCCCTCCTCTCTTCCTGTTCCTCTTCAGGTTCTCGAGAAACTATTCTAGTATCCCTATCTAGGATTAAAGAAGATTAAATAAATAACGTAAAAATTATTTTTCCCTTCTCTCATCCTATTCCTATTCAGGTTCTCGAGAAACTATTCTAGTATCCTTATCTAGGATTAAAAGAGATTAAATAAATAATGTAAAGATTATTTTTCCCTCCTCTCTTCCTGCTCCTCTTCAGATTCTCGAGAAACTATTCTAGCATTCTTACCTCGACGCCGGTTACTCCCAGAGCCGTTTTGATGTTCGGGGTCATGCGGAACGGCACCTTCTCTGGGACACGTAGGGTTTTTCCCTTCTCGAAGCAGACGTTGTAATCGATGTGCACAACTTCGCCGGTATTGAGGTCGACGAGAACGTTGTCCAGGTGTCTGTCACCTAGACCTATAATGTAGCCGATGATGGACATCACCGCAACGGAATTCGAATAATTCTTGGTCGCCTGCCACCAGCTTCCGGCATTGATGCTGTTGCACCAGATTTCCCTGCAACGTGCGTCAAAGAAATTAATTCTTAAAAATTCGATCGCATAAAAAAAATATATACAGGATGTCTCCTCTTAAAGAATAGATCAGAAGAATAGACAAGATCAACTTCTTAAGCTTATTTGTTAAATCGAGACACTCTGTATAATATATTATTTCTTCAACAAGCAACCAACTTGGCCAACAGATCCTTGGGGGTCTCCTTCATGAGGTCCTCCAGCACCTTCTTCAACACGTGAGTGGGCCACTCCTTCCGGTTCTCCAAGCTGATTCCGCACTCCTTCAGCAACGGCGTCAACTTGTTGTAGAACAGTTCTGAAGGGCGCATGATCGTCGAGTTTCCGCCGCCGGTTTTGCTGATCATCGCGCATTCGCGCTGCTGCCACCGTTTGTAGAGAATGAACAACGGCGTGACGCCATCCACCCACTGAATGAGACCGGATCTGAGTCCCAGCGGGATCACCGAGTAATGTCGCGCCCTGTAAACCTTGGTCCCGCTGTTCTTCGACATCATGGTATTGCATATGCTCAGGAACTGCATTATTCTCTCGTCCAGGTGCAAATCCTCCAATCCCTTGAATAGATACGTGTAAACGTGGCCGTCGGAGCCATGGAATATCAGCTTCTTCGGTTTCGTCTTGGTCGGCAGAATCTGAACGTTGTTGTCCACTGACATGATCGTCACGATCCTATTGTCGACGGCGGCTACACCCGGCATGGCGATGCGCGTGTTCTTCAAGTTCGCCAGGATCGGACTAATGTCCGTCATCGACAGGGAATAGGCGGCCCTTCGGTGAACGCGTTGCGCCAACTTGGTCTCCAGGTGCTTCAGAGCCAGACTGGCGAGCTGCGGCTTTGCCGGGTTCTTGGGGTTGTTCAGTCGGTTTATCACCTCCTCTATGGAGGCGCCGAACTTCTCCTGGAAGTTCCTCTCGTGCGGCGTCTCGGCGGACACCGACGTCATAGCGAGAAGGTTCTCCAGGATGAATGTGATCGGCTTGAGAATAATCCTGTGCTTCTCCGCGATCAGTTTGTCCTTCTCCTCAGGAGCGAGCCAGGCGTTGTTCTGGACCCGCTGAATCTCGAGCTCCAGCTGCTCGAATCTCTTCGTGATTTCTGTGTGATGCTGGCACAAGGTCGCCAGCCATAATTCGTCCCACAGCAAGGTGATGCGTCTGAGCTCTTTCACCAGTACCTTCACCTGGACCACCGAGTCTTGGATGCGACTCGAGAGGCAATCGACTAATTGCGAGAAGCAGGAATCCATGAAACTCTCGTGCTCGTCGACCACCTCGTCTTCTTCAGCGGTATTCGACTCGAACTCGTTCTGCGAGCTGTCGTTCTCGTTGGGTTTCTCGTAGACGACCTTGTCGTATGCCTTCTGGCCGGAAACGGCGCCCACCACCGCCGGGAATGTAATCAAGTGCGGCGAGTTCTCGGCGACGCGGCACAACAACTCGGACACCTGGGTCCTCACGTACGCCTCCGGGTGGCTGAGCCTAGAGAACAGCTGCGGTATGATCTCCTTCCAGGGCGCGGTCGGGGTGGTCGAGAGACCGGCCTCCAGGACGTTCTGCAGCTCCAGGGCGTGCTTCACCACGAGCCGCAGCAGCCGCAAGGTCGCCGTGATGGTGTCGCACTCGTTGCTCTCGTTATCGGCCAGTTGCAGGTACTTGAAGTACGCGTTTGCCGAAAGCTCGTAATACGAGTAGATCCTCTTCTGCGCCTGCCGCCAGATGTCGACGAGCATACCGAGCAGGTGCTCGTTCCCGGGGTGGTTTAGCACCGGCACGTTCCTCAGCTGGTTCTCGATCATGTCGGACGTGTTGACGTCGTTTGTGTCGATGTCGCCCTCGTCCTCGGGTATGGTCTTGTTCTGGCTGAGTATGCAGAAGACGGTGCTGAGCTCGGCCTCGGCGATGTCCCTCGGCAGCAGGGACTGTATATTGAACCGGTCGGTGTCCGTCAGCTGGCCGGAGTTGGAGTTGTCCACGATCTTGCGACCCCATTTGTAGCACCAGGCGGCGAAGTTGGACCAGGCGTGCGGCAGATCCGGGCACTGGTTCACCCCGAGCTGCATCAGTTTGCCGATTATCATGTCCGAGGTCGGGATCAGGTCGATCGTGTCGCCGAAGAGCTTATCCATCAGTCCGTCGTTGTGCACGGCCTCGAATCGGAGCAGCTCCTCCAGCTGGGGATTATCCTTCACGCTCACGTCTTGCTGTATCCACTTGCCCAGGGTGAGTAAGAGCTTGGTCCCCATCTCCCGCAGATCGGCGGATCGTTCCCCGCTGACAATCGCCTGGGAGATCCCCAGAGAGGTCACGCAGCAGATCTTCAGGGCCTCGTTCGTGTTCTCCATGTCGTACAGCAGCTTGGAGAACTCTCTGAACGCGCGCATGCTGTTCTTCGTCCACTTTACGTGCACGGGTCCGTTCAGCATGCTGTTGGTGATGTCGGTAAAAGTGCAAGCGGCGGCCGAGTTGTTCAGTTGAATCAAATCCCGCTCCAATTTGAAGTACTTGACCATCTCCCGCTTTGCTAAGTTAAAGTTGCCCTCCTTCCTGGCCGTCCTGATGACGTGTAATCGTAGACTGTCCACCTCCGCGGAGCTGTCGTCGGAGCACGATTGGTCGAAGTACTTGGACCACCAGAGGACTCGCGTCAAAATGCTGGAGTTGATGTGACTAATCTTGTCGACCTTGTACAGCTCGAAGACGTTCTTGTCGTTTTTCCCGGACAGGAGGTTCTTCAGCCCCGTCGCCGAATACTGAAGCAGTATGGCGTCGCTGAGGTACTCCGAGGGTACATTTCGCAGACTGTCCTGCATCGTCTTGGCCGCGACCTTCTCGCAGCTCTCGATGACGCTGTCGAACGTGTCCTTGAACTCGTTGCTGTGAATCCTCAATGCGACGTTCATCAGATTGTTGTCGGACTCGCTCAGCACCTTCGCGCGGCTCCAGTTGTTCTTCCTCTCGCCGTCCAGAAGGTTCCAATTCGTCAGCTCGTCCAGACAGATCAATTCGCCCTCCTCGAACTTTTTCAGGCAATCCGCCTGCTGCGGCGCGATGCTCTCGGTGATCTGCTTTCGCAAAACGGCGTTCCCTTCCTGCGTCAGAATGTCGTTCTCCTGTGACTTCCAGTCTACCAATCCGGACCAGTCGGTGACCGCTTTGTAGCAATTGGACAGTCGCTGCATGCAAAAGCCCAGCACCTGACTGTCGCTCTCGAGTCTCCCAGTTCTGCCGTTCTCGTCGTCGTCCGCCTTAACGTGGGTGTACTCCTTGATGATCTGTTTATAGGCCTGCACCGCGGACTCGTAGTGTCCGGCTGCCTCTTCCATCGCAGCCTTCAGCCAGGGAAACTGCCTGTCCTTCGTCTTGGCGTACATGTAGAGTCCCTGAAGAGCCTCCGGCTCGTTCAAGGCGACCATCGCCTGGGCCGTCCACAACGTCGCCCTCTCAAACTCGATACCCTGAGTGTTGTCGGCGTTGCTGAGGTCCTCCAGCAGCCGTTGGCCATTTCGCAGCGCGCTCGTCGCCAGACCGGAGTGCAGCGAGACGACGCAGAGAGCCAACCTGATGCGATTCAGCCACTCCTTGCACGTGGACTTGTTCGTGTGGAAGAAGGTCCTGACCGGCTTTGACAAGGGCGGGAGCGCCATCGTGCAGCCGTCGGCCGCGTTGTGAATCACCCTCTCCAGGTGCTCCAGGAACTCGACAAAGAGCCGTACTCGCGTGTGCTCGTGCAACACGCGATCCAGGCTCTGCTTCTCCTTCTTCAGCATCAGCACCGTGTCTGTGTTGTACGATATCTCGCGAGCCAGGACTTTCAGGGCGCTCTCGATCGACGTGAAGGTTTCCTGCGGCTTCCCCAGAAATGTCCGGAGCTTGTTCAGCACGCAGTGCTGCGCCGCCTCGAACCCGCTCCAGAAGAATAGAAATGAACAATTCGCCAGCGCCAAGTCGTACATCCTCGCCGCGGTTTCACTTTCCGATCTGGAAGTTTTATATACATATAAATATATAAGATGTTTGAAGAGTCGCAAAATAATAAAATACCTTGAAAATGTTTCAAAAGTTAAAAAAGTTTATTCATGTGTTTGACCTTGAACGGCGTCATCAAGATCAGGACAAGGTCATTTTGAATTTTTTAAATAATCATCGATTTATATAAAAAAAAGGTAGGTTTTATTTAAAAAATTTAAAATGACCTTGTTCTGACCTTGGCGACACCACCCAAGGTCAAACTGATAAAACCAGTAAATAGATTTTTTTCAACCTTGTAATTTTGTCTCTTATGTTCTATATTTCGAAAAACTACTTACACAGCTGGCCAGCATAGAGTAAATATTTCCGCCAAACCGGTTGTATCGAGATAATGTTCTTGCAGCAGGTACGCCATGTACGTTTTGAAGTGTTGCGCCAACAATTCCCCGTTATTGTTACCTCGCATGTGCAATCTTTGGGCGAGTATCAATGATTCCGCCGAATAGGTTTCGATTTCACGTATTTTCTGTGAATTCGAAACAAAAATTAAAACTTATTGCTCACATTCGGCCCTATTCGGAGCTTCAAGCGCTTACCTTAGTATCCGAAAACAGGAACTCTTTATTCAACTTCAGTATCACGATGTTGATGGGCATGGACATCAGCAACGAGTCGTACTTCTCGCGGATCGCTTCGTTGCATGATGTCAAGTGCAACGTCGCTAGATCCACGATACTCGAGTAAGTCTCCAGCTTCCACTCCACCTTCTTCGCAGTCATCAGGTTCTCCAGGAGATTGCACACCGCGCTCGCGATATCGTCATTCGTCGTAGCGCCGCAACTAATTAAACTCTCGATGATACTCTGGCACTCCTGAGTCTTACTCAAGATCCCGATGTATTTCTCGGATTGCACGCAAATCTCCTGCAGCCAATTGGACAGGAGAAGCAAAATTTGTACGGGCGTCTTCTTATTGTACGTCTTGGCTATCAGGTTGAGAATTATGGACAAGTGGCCGCTGGTGGGCGATGTGGTAGGTACATCCAAAGTTCCAGGGAACATGTCCATTGGCCGACAAGTGGTGCTGCCGGTTATCAAGCTGGAGCTCGGGACAAAGTGGTTGTACCTGTAATTTATCGCAATTGCGATTAGGATTTCTGGATTTCTCCATTAAAAGTCATCGAGAGACTTCTCAAGTCTCTCGATGACGAACTGACGCCATTAAACGCCAAAATGATGTATGCTTGCTATCTGAGTATATTTTACCTGGAGCAATGCGAGTAGAGCAAATATAGAATACTATATTGCAAGTATGGGCTGGCTGTGGATAATGCAGAGTCGTATGGTTTCAGTTTGACCGCGAGAAGTTCGAGGATGGTGGGCTTCAGGGCCCACATTCCGATGATCGAATTACTAGCGTTTGCTGAAGAAGAAAAAGTTATACAAAAGGAATTTCATAATTGTAAACACCCTGTATAATGTTATTCGCTCACCTATATCTGAAAGCGCGACCAGGATGAACGTGATTACAATCTCTATGTTCTTCTTCATGTAATTCAAATCGCTCAACGGGTTGTCCGCAACCAAGCTATCCATGTCGGGCATTATAAACCTGTAAGCAATCTCCAAATCCGCTAAGATGTAGCGATAAGACTCCTGCAGCAACGGGATGTTCTTTAAGCTGAGGAGGCTGTGATAGACACCCAGACAAGCGTTCTGTATCGGAATGGAATTTCGAAATCTCAGCTTCAGCAACGCCGAATTCTTGCCTAGCAACATGTGCACCAGCTCCAACGGCAAATTCGTGGACACTTCCTTGATCACTTTCGATATGATACTCAGCATCGAGATGACGGTGTCGTCCCAGAAGATGTTGACCCGCTGCAACTGAAGATCGATGAACTTGTAGAGAAGCTCGTGGTTCTTCGCGATGCGACTCTGAAGGTAGCCGAGGAGCAGGAAAGCGCACTCATTCGCGACTATGATCAATTCCTCCTTCTCCTCGGACAGATCCATCTGCTTGATCTGCGGATCCACGGATCGCAGCAAGTTCATCAGCAACTGGCGCTTTTCCTTAGACAGAGCGGCACCCTTATCGGAAGCTATCTTCGAATTCTTCTTATCGTTCCTTTCGTTTACACCCAGCGACTTCATCATTTTGATGAGGTTCTCCTCGGTGATCTCGTCTTTGCTGAAGTGCTTGGAAAGCATCTCCACGTGTTCCTGCGACGAACCGACGTTCTTTATACGTTTCAGAAGATTCTCCGTGTTGTTGGATAGGACCTTGGACCAGATGTCGGTCTCTTCCTCCAATTCGATCGCCTTGACGACGGTCTTCAGCATCTTCGAGAGACAGTCCGTCAGAAAGGACCACTGCACGCTGGGCGCGTGGTTCGGATTCAGATGTTCGGATATGCTCTTCGTTACTGTGTTGAAAACGGATATCAGGGGCGTGATCCTCAGAATGCACTCCCTCGGGGTCGGAGATCCATCGTCGCCGGGCGAGATACGGCCAGATTCGGGCGAGCTTAATTCCTCGTCGTAGCCCTCCATGTCTTCCAGAAACTGACCCAGCAACGTCAGGGTGAACTGCAGATCCGAGATCCAGAACGAGCGGAGCTTCTGCAAGCATCGACTCGCGTAGATGACGACGGACTTTTGCTGCGTGGAATCGATGTGCCAGCCTACGAGTATGTCTACGGTGTCGCGGAAGTGATTTGTGAATGTCTCCGGATAGGAGTCTATGATGAGTAATATAGCATCGACAGTCGCTACTAGTAAATCTGCCCTGTCCACGTTCTCCAATATTGATTGTAATTGGGACATCAGCGGCTGTAATGCAAATATAATGATGAACAAAGAGACAAAAAGTTAATTATTTTTTTAATTTTTTAAAATTACTTTTTAAGATTTTAAAAAATTTTTATTTTATTTTTATTAATTTTTTAATTATTTTATTAAGTTTTATTCCCCTTTATGAATATTACTTACCACAGAGAAATCTTTCAATTTGGATGTCTCGGCATCCATCCTGAGTGTTTCGCTGATCGACTTTATCAGTAAGCATTTTATATCATCTTTACGTTCCAATGAATATTTGCTAAAAGTCCAGTCCATATATCTAGAAATTATATCAATGTTTTATAATTTTGCACTGTGATATTGTAAACAGTAGGAGAATAAAAATATATCTAAAAATAATATTAAAAATATATTTAAAAATAAATATTTGATTATAAATATATTTTATATATAATTTATATATTAAATATATATTAATATTATATATCATATACAATCTATTAAATATATCAAAGAAAAGTTTTTTAATCGACCACATTGACAATGCTTTATTCAATTAATCATCAACACGTTTCAATCATGGGTTTTGGTCCTTCTCAAGTGTATTACATAAACACAATATAGACAATAATTAGTGCAATCAGTTAGCATTTTCGGAGATCAATAAATGATCGACTCTAAAAAAATGTGTTGATGATTAATTGAATAAAGCACTGCCAGTATGGTCGATTAAAAAACCTTTAAGTAGTGGTTGAAAGTTCTTGATAAAAATATATAGTGTAAGGTAGTATAAAGGCTTATAAGAGCTATAATGAAGACATTAAATGTAGTAAAGTAAGAAATGAAAATTATTTAATTATTAATGTGAGTAGAAGGTTAATATAATAAATGCAAAGAGTATACAATAACAAATAAAGAAAAATTAAATTAATAAGCGGACGTTTCGGTACAATTTTTTATACCATCTTCAGCGCAAAACGAAATCTAGATACATACTTTAAATTCTATTAAGAAACAAACGCAAAATTAAATACAAAGTCATATTAATTAAATCTGTCAAATTCGGGCGCATATCGACCACAATCAAAATCAAATTATATCATTATTAAATAATTATCGCAGTACAATCCAAAATGATTAAATTTTTTTAATAATGAGTTATGTGTCAGATTGATAGGAGAATTCAAGTAGTCAAAAAAGAAATGAATCATAAATAGTTGCTCAACATTGTTGTGCCTTTCACGTTTCATTTTGTGTGTGTGAGATATTTATTAAATTGAAATTCAATTAAAAATACCATTAGAATATTAAGATATCGAAAGATAAGGTAATATCGGAATTAATCGCAGTAACAAATATTACAAAATATGTATAACAATAAAATAACTCAAATAACTCAATAATTGTTCGCAAAGAAAAAGCGAACAGTTTTTCTTTGCGAACAGTTATTGAGTTCAGACATATTTTGTAATATTTGTTACTGCGATTAATTCCGATATTACCTTATCTTTCGATATCTTAATATCCTAATGGTATTTTTAATTGAATTTCAATTTAATAAATATCTCACACACAAAATGAAACGTGAAAGGCACAACAATGTTGAGCAACTATTTATGATTCATTTCTTTTTTGACTACTTGAATTCTCCTATCAATGACACATAACTCATTATTAAAAAAATTTAATCATTTTGGATTGTACTGCGATAATTATTTAATAATGATATATATAATTTGATTTTGATTGTGGTCGATATGCGCCCGAATTTGACAGATTTAATTAGTATGACTTTGTATTTAATTTTGCGTTTGTTTCTTAATAGAATTTAAAGTATGTATCTAGATTTCGTTTTGCGCTGAAGATGATATAAAAAAGTGTACCGAAACGTCCGCTTATTAATTTAATTTTTCTTCATTTGTTATTGTATACTCTTTGTATTTATTGTATTAACCTTCTACTCACATTAATAATTAAATAATTTTTGTATTACACGTGCAGACAAAGTGGCACTTTGTGTGCGTGTTTTCTGTGCGGAAAGCAGCCGATTTCCCACGCCGCCATCTAGCAGCGACGCGGTGAGTAAATAAGCCGCGTTCAAAGCCATTGCTTACGGCCGAGCCGCGTTCAAAGTCATTGCCCACGGCTTTAACCGTGGGCAATGACTTTGAACGCGACTATTCCCGCACCGTGCCGCCGCAAGATGGCGGCGTGCGATCGGCCACCTCACGCACAGAAAACGCGCACAAAGACACTTTGCCTGCACTTGTAATACAAAATAGTATGTGTATCACGTGCGGATTAACAATTGTTCACTCGTGTGGGGTAGTCGCACTCGCCTTCGACTCGTGCGTCCATCCCCCGCACTCGTGACCAATTGTCAACTTTCCGCACTTGATACACAATATACTATTATTTCTTACTTTACTACATTTAATGTCTTCATTATAGCTCTTATAAGCCTTTATACTACCTTACACTAAAAAATCTTTCTTTGATTTTATTTGCTGGCGACTTTCATTAAATCGAATTATATTAAATATATATTTAAAAATATATTAAATATATATTTAAAAAATATTAACAATGTATATATTTAACAAATGTATAATTAAATATATATTGTTTACAAAACACGATTATTTTGATATACCTTTTAAAATCTTGTTCCACCACATATCCAATTCGGCCCAAACATTTTGCAACCTGTTGTTTCGCTTCCAGCTCAAAGCCAGAGTGCAAAACATCCAACAGGTTTTCACAAATAGGCTCCAGACTACGTCGTATGTATCGTTGATTTTCAGGTGCAAGAATACCCTCCTGCACCTGCTTGCAAAGCACCATAAAGTGATCGTAATCATCTTCGCGACACAATCGTCGCAAGAGTTTGGAAATTCTCGAGTCCTCTGTAAAAATAATAGATTTGATAAAAGGCTGTTAAGAGCAGTAAATATAAAAATTCAAAATATGATTAAAAGTGAAGTCATATATAAAATAGTATTCTTTAATCTAATATCTCATAATGAATTACAATAAAAAAAATGTTGAAAAATGTTTCTTAAAGCTTGAAGCTTCCGCACTTGAAAAGAAAATGTAAGAATATTACCATTTATTCTTTTATCGTCATAGTATTTGCCCTGTGCATTCTCATGATTTTTCAACGATTCTTGAAACTTGGGTCTAGATGCAGAGTGATAGCTGGAATCTGAGTTTGACTCGTTGAGAGTCTTCTTGAAAGCCCTTCCGCGTGTCCCACCACCTCTGGCCGCACGGTCTGCAGAGCTGCCGCCACGCGCCATTCGAAATTCATTTCTTGGAGCACCGCTGAGTCTAGCACAAATAATTCACCGTAAATAATCCTTGTTGGTGCGATCATTTATTATTGATCGGAACAAAGAAGAAATAAAAAGAGGAGTACCTTGGCTTAAACCTGGTAAAGCCGTGATCCGAAGAATAGTTGGAGTTTCTTTGGCAAATAACCAGGGTGCTACGTGGTACATTAAGATCATTTATATCGCAGACACTTATCACACCACTATCTTCTTTCTCAATTTCCCCTCCTTGATTCGTTGACTCGTCCTGAGTCTTGGCACACTTGGAACCATGTAGCCTCGTGCTAATATTAGAGTTCCCACAGCTATTCATTACATTACTCTGCAAGTGGTCGGCATGACCCACACTTTATAGATGTGACTCGTAGCTACTTGTAGTTACCTTCACCAATAACATAAAAAGAATGCTTAATATACACAGACGTTGGATTCTAATTTTTTTCATACAAATTAATATTTTTTAACCAGTACAATAACAAAAAAATTATTTCATGAATGCATTATCAAAATAAAAAAATGTGTTAATAAAAAAGAAAGAAAGATTAAAATATAAAAAATATCTTAAAAATCTTGTGTATAAAATATAGTTTAAATTATTGGAAGAAAATTGCTGTCATTTATTCCGTGACTTTTGGCGCAAAATAAACAAGTGCATTTCAAAATTACGACATTGCGGCATAATAAGCAACTTGTTTATAATTTCGACTCTCGTTTTATCTACCGCGATTAGATAGACAGAGATCCTGTATCTAATCTATCCTGCAATTTTCCCGGAAAATCGGGTAAATTTTCGCGGGAAAGCACGTGGGCAGAATGAGAAGCGAATTTCTCCCGCTCCCTCGATTTTTTCGTTGACGGGTCTCTCGCGCAAACAGCATCTGTTGCTGATAACGAATTTACCCTCCTTCTCCTCCAGCTCCTCTTCCTCCCGCGAAACTCTCTTTTTAGCAGAAAAAAACGCTTAGGCTTAGAATAAGAGCCACCTCTCTCTCTCGCTGGATCTCGCGGAAAAGTCGTCGGGAAATCTTCGCGTGGAACTCGAGGAAAAGTCGCGCGAACTCGTCGCTCCGTCGAATTTATTGCCTCGCACAACTGCGAAAGTTCGAAAATCCCTGATTTCAGAGGTTATGAGAGGACACATTCGGTGTTTCTCTTCACTGGCTTGGATTTTCGCCCCTCCATATCAAGCGTGTGCCATATGCCATCATCACCGCGGATTTCTTCCAGAAATCTAGGGAATTTTTCGATTTTATCTAGGGATTTTTTAATGTCTCCCTAGGGAATTTTCGATTTTTTTCCTGGAGCGCGCGAAAAATTCGTCAGAATCTTTTTCTTTCCGGATTAATTTTGTTTAAATAATTAAATAATATAATTTGCATAAATGAAAAAAAAGTGTGAGTGACAGGAATTAAATCAGATTTAACTTTTAATTACCCGTTTAATTAAAAATTATCCGATTTATGTCGCGTTTGGTGTCATTTTAATCGCAAAAGTCTCATTAATCTCCATCACAATTATTTTGAACCCGATAAATTGCAAAATACTAAAATTTAATTTTCTATTGTAATGTGACATATGATACGAAAGATTATATAATCTAAGAATTATCCGATTTATGCCGTTTTAATAGCAAAAATTATTGTAGAGATAAGGAAAGATTCCCGAGACGTAGAAGCGAGAGCGATCTTTCATATCATATTAATAAATACGGAACAAATCGTCTAATATATTTAATTGAGTTTAATTTGTGAAAGAGAATTCTATTAATAGAATTTTGTATTAATTTTATACTATTAAATATATAATATTTATAATCTTAATTTTCAGGGTTGAGTATGTAATAACTAGATAATAATTAAAAATTAAAGGTTAAAAGTTAATAACTTTTAACTTAGCTTAATTAATTTAAAATTTGGATCTCGACTAAAAATAAGTTCAGATTCTCTATAAAGAATAAAATTTCAGCAAAATTTTCAATTTGTTAAAATTATATTATATATATACACACACACACACACACACACACATATATATATATATATATACCCAGATAACCACAGTAATTATGACATCAAAATGATAATAATGAATATATATATATGCTATAACAAGAGATAAAAAAACCTTTTAATAGGCTAATTTGATAAATCAAGTCATAAATGTCGAATTTTATTTTAATAAACTAATACCATCAATTAATAAATATCAAATAATTTTACTAAATTTGTTTCTCCGATTATTTGCATAATGTACGTGTAATATATATGTACGCAAAGATTATGTGTCGTTCAAAAGATTTATATATATATATATATATATGCATAAATTTTAGAGGCCTACATATAATGATAGATAACAGAAAGATAAAGGAAACAATTTTTTTTCGACTTAATATACAGTTTTGAGTCATATGCTAGACTTATGACTACATTTTACATTTCAACCATTTTCAGGACATATTGTAGCACAAAGTTAATGATGCGACGGTCGCCCTTGCTCGTTCTCCGGCTGCACTTCCGGTGTGTGCGGCCAAATTGTTGGCTTGTCAGGATTGAGAGCCTGCTCCGGACAGAAGTCTCGGAAATCTTCCATGGTCATTTCGGAGAACGGTAACAAACTCTTTACTCTCTCGACTTCCTTGCTGGCAGTAGCGATACGTTCATTCGAATCCTTGATAAATTGCTCGATTTGAACAAACTGCAATACATGTTCATAACTTAGAATCAGAAGAGATGATCAAAATGCAGTGTTGTGCTTAGATGATTTTAAAATTAGCTAGATAAGATAAAAATATGAAAATTGATCTTAGATAAGATAAAGATGATTTTGTGTTAAATATATCTAGATATAAAAGATAAAATTATATGACGATTCACTTTCTAGATAATATTATTTTTAAGACTACTTATGTAAAGTTATAAAAAAGATATAAAAATATCTTCATATATTTGTATTTTTAAGTTTTTATCGCTTACTGCTTAAGTTCGACTAATTAATTATTTTTATGTGCTATAGCTCTAAACCAAATTATGTGAACATTATTCTAGATAATTTTGTGAAGATAACACTTTTTCATCTAAAATGCAGATATACATAAAACATTTTTATTATCTATATAAAGATGACGTCAAAATTTCATCCAGATGATCATCTATATAATTTCATTTAAATAACAACAAACACTGTCAAAATGCAATATTTCTTGATTGCGAACATTACCAGATCCTTTTCTTGAGCCTCAATTTGCGAAGTATATTTATCTGTTGGATATGGCACTGAGATGGATTCATAATCCTTCTGAAATTTATCGACTAATCCGGCTAAAGCAACATTTTTCTTGTAATATGCCCAGTCAATCTTCGGAGGTGCTTCTGGATTCGCAGTCATTCTATAAATATGTAAAAATATAAATTCATAATAATGTTACAATATCAATTATTATCGCTTCTTTCTCTTTTTTCAATTAATTGTATAATAATTAAATGAGTGTTTTAGAAAAAGTTGATAAAAATTATACGTGATCTTTTAATAAATGTTAAATAATCGAATTACATTATAGTTACTTCAACAGAGGTTATGCGTATGTAATTGATATCTTCGACAAAGTGGTGAACCGAAGAATATCTTTAATCCTTGCCATTTCTTTTCTTATAACATACTTAATTATTACAGGGACTTAATTTTCATTTTTTCATTGAAAATAAGAAACATTTTGATCATGTTATATAATATCGTCATAAAAGACAGTCTCTCGAAAAAGAAAAACCGATACGTGTAAATTTACTGACCGTCGCAGATGTTGATCAGACTTGGCTTTAAAGGCGACGAACGCGGTTTTTTCCGTCTCCGGAATCCTTTCGGCGAGAGCCGCCCAATTAATCGCCTTAATCGCCTTCCGCGACATTTTTTCGTCGATTACCTTCTCAATTCTCGACAGCGAGACAGCTGTTCGCAAGCATAGACTTCTACATAACACTAGATGGCAAAATGCGTAACAGAAAACGCGCAACACTTCTGATTGGTTACGCGCAATCGTTGGAAATTATGAAATAAAATAATTAATAATTATTAATAATTTTTATTATTAATATTATTATTATTTATATATATATATATATATTTATTATTTATATTATTATTATTATTAATTTATAATTTCTTGATAATTAATAATAATTATTATGAATATTATTATTATTAATATTATAATATAATATATATATAATTTATATTATTATTATTATTATTATTATTACCCAGGTAGCAAGCTGACGTCATATTAAACGTTAAAATGACGTCATCGACGTTTTCGATTGGGAAAAAGTTAGTGCGCACCAGTGCGCACTCAGTTCACACGAACACTGGACAAGTTCCATGGGTTGCACTGAATAGTGCAGGTGAAAAAGAACACGCCGAAATTTTCAGTGCCACTTGAGTTGACTAGATTCCGGGAAGAACAAAAAAGTAACCTCGACATCTTGTGTTCAGTTAAGTAATGATTTTTATTATATGTAATTAAATATAGAAGATGATCAAGAATATCACGTATGACAAATATAAAAATTATTATTATTCAGTATAAAAATGCTATTACATTAAGTACATTAATTATATTTTAAAAAAAGGTATAGGTTCGATGTTTATATAAAAAGATATAACACTTATAGTGTCATTATCCATTTTTTTCACACATTCTACATAATTTACAGTTTTTGGAATTATTCTTCTAGTTCGAAGAGTTGTAATTATTTCTTCTTGCTCGCTTGAACTAGAAGAAAATTCCAAAATGTCTCCCAAATATTAAAGAGAGCCAAATCCGAATTGCTCATTATGTCGAATTTTCGTTCAAAAGAATGCCCTACTGCTTGCATGCATCCAGTGCACTGAACTGGCACCGTCAAAATATCTCGTGCCACTTAGTGCGCACTGAGTGCGCACTATGCGAGTGTTGTGCGTTCAAACGAACACGCAACACTAGTCAAGTGCGCATTGGCACTACCAATCGAACACGCGCCTGACATTCAGTGCAGCCAGTGCACCCCAATCGAAAACGCTATTAGGGTGCGATTACATGGACGCGCGGAAACGCGGAAACGCGGAAGAGAAAGTAACTAAACTTTACTAGAGTCCCGCATTTCCGCGCGTTCCGTTCCGTCTGTTTTGATTGCCTTATATTACATGGACACAGATTAATAGACAGATTGCCAAAGGCCTGCCTAAAGAAGAGACCGCCATCTTCGTGCGATAGACTTTGCCCCTTACCGACACACTTTGCCCCTGGTTCGAGTCCGTGCTAAATTCGTAGACTTGAACCAGAGAGAAGGATGAGAGTGGTCATCCCCTCGATTTAGCTGCAACCGGAATTCAAAGCGCCTCTATGTGCACAAAACGTGCACATTGAACTACGTAGCCATGTGCACGATGCTCCCGAGTGGTAACAGGCTATGTGCACGGTACGTGGTTCGATTCCGTGCTATGTGCACAGATGAGCGCCAGTAACACGTAGCTGTTAAAGGAGATGAGTTCGAGACCTCGCAGGGCCAATTTTTTTTTTTTTTTTTTTAGTACGACTATATTTGTCAATTTAATGAAATCCTTTTAATTATTGTGGAATAAAGAGATAAAATGCATTTCTCAAGCGTACGCGAGAAAATCGAAATCAAAAATAATGAGTGCCGTATAAATACGTATGGAATAGAGCGTTATATCGAAGAGCGTGTGGCGTAGCGTTAAGGGGCTAGACACGTACCGTCGAGGTTAGAGGTTCGATTCTCAAGGAGTGACTTTTTTTTTAATATTTTTTTATTTTAAATAAAATTTTTTTTTACCATAAAATGTAATTTTTACACAAAATAAATGTAAATAACACGATTTATTTACTTATAACACGTATATTACAAAAATGCATTTTTCTTTGCCTCAAAAAGCCGTGAAAAGCCGTCTGTAGAATAGCTGTATGCGATAGGAACTTGTATGATTATCTGTTTAATTAAAAATTATCCGATTTATGTCGTGTTTGGTGTCGTTGAAATCGCAAAAATCTCAATAATCCATTAATATTATTTTTGAATAGATAAAATGCAAAATAAAGGTTTTAGTTTTTCACTTATAAGATGTTTATATTTGTGAATTGCCATGGATGGGGAAGCCTATTGTTCGAGAGTTCGGAACTTTCTTTGATGATAGGTCCTCTCGCTCGCTCTATACTCGCAGTCTCGCTTTCTCTCTCGCACACGACGAGTTGTGAGATGAGCTCGAAAAGATAAGCGGGCCCGAGCGCCCGAGTATCGAGATCAAAGAACGTTCCGAACTCTCGAACAATAGGCTTCCCCATCCATGGCAATTCACAAATATAAACATCTTATAAGTGAAAAACTAAAACCTTTATTTTGCATTTTATCTATTCAAAAATAATATTAATGGATTATTGAGATTTTTGCGATTTCAACGACACCAAACACGACATAAATCGGATAATTTTTAATTAAACAGATAATCATACAAGTTCCTATCGCATACAGCTATTCTACAGACGGCTTTTCACGGCTTTTTGAGGCAAAGAAAAATGCATTTTTGTAATATACGTGTTATAAGTAAATAAATCGTGTTATTTACATTTATTTTGTGTAAAAATTACATTTTATGGTAAAAAAAAATTTTATTTAAAATAAAAAAATATTAAAAAAAAAGTCACTCCTTGAGAATCGAACCTCTAATCTCGACGGTACGTGTCTAGCCCCTTAACGCTACGCCACACGCTCTTCGATATAACGCTCTATTCCATACGTATTTATACGGCACTCATTATTTTTGATTTCGATTTTCTCGCGTACGCTTGAGAAATGCATTTTATCTCTTTATTCCACAATAATTAAAAGGATTTCATTAAATTGACAAATATAGTCGTACTAAAAAAAAAAAAAAAAAAATTGGCCCTGCGAGGTCTCGAACTCATCTCCTTTAACAGCTACGTGTTACTGGCGCTCATCTGTGCACATAGCACGGAATCGAACCACGTACCGTGCACATAGCCTGTTACCACTCGGGAGCATCGTGCACATGGCTACGTAGTTCAATGTGCACGTTTTGTGCACATAGAGGCGCTTTGAATTCCGGTTGCAGCTAAATCGAGGGGATGACCACTCTCATCCTTCTCTCTGCTTGAACCAAAAGACTTTGCCCCTGGTTCGAGTCCGTGCTAAATTTCGTAGACTCGACCAAAAGACTTTGCCCCTGGTGCAAGTCCAGGCTAAATTCGTTTGACATTACCAACAGACTTTGCCCCTGATGCGAATCCAGGCTAATTGATCATGAGACCAATTTGAGAGATTTGGCCCCCGTTGTGTGTGTGTGTGTGTGTGTGAGAGAGAGAGAGAGAGAGAGAGAGAGAGAGAGAGAATATTTTACATATATGCATATATATATAAAATTTATTAAATATAAAAAATATATTTTTACACATAAAATGTTTTTTTATTGAAATAATCACGATTTTAAATGTGATATAACACAGTGTTCTAAAATTTTTTAATTAAATTTTTTAATTAAATTTTATTAAAGAAAATTACTTGAAATTTTTTACATTAAGAATTTAAAGGCTCCTTATTCTCTTGTAGAAATTTATCACTACGCCAATTAATCACTTATTTTGAGTATTTAAAATACTATAATATACAGTAATTTAAGTATTCGAAATAAAAGTGATTAATTACTCGAAATAAGTGATAAATTGGCGTTACTAGTAATAAATTTCTATAAGGGTTGAAATAAAGTATAAGAGATAAATAGGCTATATGTGAGCCGTATGCGAAATGTGAGATGTAAGACGCATATTGAAATTTAATTTTTCGATATAACTTTCAAAAATGTACACGAGGTACAAAAAATTAGCTTGGACATTTGTAAGACTTAAAATTGGGATTAATTCTCAATTCTATTAATTAAATTTCGATATAACACACCTTACATCCGCGCACGGCTCACATATATATATAGCCCATTTATTAGTGCAATTTTTAAGTTCCTTATTTTTCAAAGTTCACCTTTTTACGTTATCAAATATTTTTACGTTTTCAAGAATTTTATATTTTTACTTACCGCAGTTTCTTATCCAAATGTAAAATCTTTTATCGCAGTCTATAAAAAATTGAAACAATTTACAATTTTATGATATAATATTATTATTATTACAATTTCTATATATATGCACATCTGTCAAATATCGTGATTTATTTCACATTATTATTATCTATTTTAATAAAAAAAAAAAAAAAAAAACACTTGCAATAATCAAAAATAAACCGCCTGCCGCGAACGGAAAATGCCAAGAAAGCACGCAATTTCCGCGAATCTCGTAATTTTTTTGAAAAATCAACAATTTCAACGAAATTGTAAATTCTTCAAATCACTGCACAAGTATAATTCACAATAATAATTTTCAGTAACTACGATAAAAAATCGTATACTGAAAACCGCAAACGAAAGTGCAATGGGAGTAAGAGTAAAGTCTGTGATAAAATTAATTGGCAATAGAAAATTAATAATTTTCAAATAGAAAAATGTTGAAATTACCGAGGATTTACAAATAATAAAGTAAAAATATTAAATAATTTATGTGACTTTGTATAGTGAACACATCAACTTGGCGGAATCTTGACTACTCATCAATTTAAGTAAGCAATTCTAAACACAATTAAGATCTTTCACATAAAAAAAATAACTTATTAATATAAATTAATATACCAAAAAAATAAAATATACTTAGACAATCACGGTGAAATATACTGCAATGACGAACTTACTCGGAAATATCCTTGATGATGGGGACTAACTTTTTGATGCTGGATAACATCTAATTGTTTTCAATTCTCATATCAAGCGGTTCTGACGATAATTTTAACTAATAATGTTCAAAAGAATTGATGACGTGGAATGGGCCGTCAACCTGTTCTACTAACAACAGGGAACT